TACGTGTTGAGAGTACTTCTGCTTTAGAGGTGCGAAACAGACCACATCTAGTGGCTGGAGGATATGTGATGAATGGGAGGGCATACAGAGCGTTAGGATCTTGTTCTCAAGGCAATAGTCCTTAAAAGCCTGGTTGAGGTGGCTCTCGTGGCCATCTATAATGAGTAGCCGGTATACCCCCACCTGACGTGCCTTTGTATACACATCAAAATGCTTCAACCATGCGAGACCAAGGTCATTGTTTGTCCAGCCATTCTCTGAGACTGAGAGCTTCCAATCTCGTGGGATATCTGTCTCCTCGTACCACGCAGAGATGTGGACGCGTCCTTTATAGATAATGAAGGGCGGGGTCACGTACCCTGCGGCGCCGATGCTCTGGATGACGGTAACCCACTCGCGATCACCTGGCTGGATGAGATTAGGTCTATTGCGTCTCTCTGAGCCCGTAACAACTTTCATAGACCCAATTACACCCATCTGGAAGCCAGTTTCATCAAAGTTGTGTATATCGTTGTTGTGGACACCATACTTGGCTATTGTGTCCTCCACCAGCTTGAACCACGTGCGTATAACCTCAGGATCCTCCTGTCGTATCCTCTGATGGTCCTTCGCTCGGGTAAACGCAGTTTGGAGCTTATCTGAACGCGTTACAAATCTCTCTGCCCAGTTCTTGCCTACGGGCTTCCCGGCACGCTCGCGCAACAGTTTATCTGCCATATCTGCCACCTCACAAAGCCGGGGCGGGAATCCTCGTGAATCGAGATCAAGAATATATCGTACGATTGTTTGCTCTTCAGTCATGGTAAGCTTAGAGCAATTAGGGCGGGTATTGGCTCGGGCGTAGGTTCTGTTATGTCTTCGCTGGAGTGTTCGTATTGAGACATTATATGCCTTAGCAGCATATCGCAGGCTTCAAAATTGGCCGTCGCTGTACGCCTGGAGTGCAAGCTCGATCCTGCCTTCTTGCTGAGTTCTATCTGCTTGCGGGTGTTGAGGCATTACGTGTCGAAGTGGTGGTGATGGTTGCCAAGAGATTCTGCGACACTCGGTGGTGTGCGACACTCGGTGGTGTGCGACACTCGGTGGTGGAATACGTTAAACTATCTCTTACTTAAAACTTTAGGGATAGAAGGGAAAATAGTAGACTTTAGCAGAAATTAAAAAACAAAAGAGAAAAAAAAAAGAGAAAATGTTTAGTTATCCCGTTCTGTTAAAGAACGATCCGTCCCTGCTGTGCTCCCTAGTCCGTCTCTTATCCTATCCGATTGTCAATTTAGATCGCCCTTCTCACATACACGAGACATTTCAGCTGTTGAAGTGAAAGTCCCTCGCGAAACGTCCCACACCCTACCTCTATCATCCACCTCACCTCCTCCCCTCAAATGCCTAAGAATCCCTCCTCTCCTTCTCCACCGCCCTGGGCTCCCTCACCATAATATCCAACGCAACATTCCTCTCCCCCCTCTGCAAATGCACCGTCCTCCTCGTCTCGAACCCAAACTTCCGATAAATCGGCGGGTTCACCTCATTGCTGCTCTCCAAGTAGCACGCCCGGCCCTCCCGATCCGCCTGCCTCGTCACATGCTCGATGAGTTTGCGCGCATGCCCCTTGCCACGCACGCTGGGCCGCGTGCCAATGTACACGAGGTACCAGCTGTCGTCGTCGCGTTCGCGGAGGGCCGTATGCTTGACGTCGTGCAGGAGGGGCAGGAATTCCTTGAAGAAGCGCCGCTTGCCTTCAGCGGACAGGCGGTAGTTGAGGCGCCACATGCCGCTGCGGAAGACGGTCCAGAGGTCGTCCATGTTCTGGCCGGGGGGCATCCTAAGGAATCGACAGTTAGAGTTTTGCCAAGAGAGAGGTTTTGTAGAGCGACCTACCAGAGAGCCACCGACTCAAACTCGCCGCAAGTCGTCACAAGGCCCTTCAAGATGTGAGCATACGTCACATATTCGAGGATCTCGACGTGCAAATCCCACTTCTCCTGCTCCGTCCAGTGCTCGCGGTCAGGCACATCGATGAAGTAGCGCGCAACGTCGTCCTCGGCAAAAGCCTCGGCCAGACAAGCAGCTGCCTTCTTGTACTCTGCCGCCGTGACGATGCGGACGCCGTCAATCAGCGGCGGAATCGTAGTCACAGCAGACTGCCTTCGAGCCAGCAGATTCGGAGCATGGATAAGGGGGAGTCTACTGGGCTTCACGGCTGACTTTTGCACATAGGTGACTGTGACGGGACTGATGGTTTTCGCCATGATTGCGGCTTGCCTCTGGGCTTTCTACTAGTGTTCAAGTGCGATCTGCCGCTTCTTTTGGTAATGGGAACAGCCGTATAACAAGCCAGCGTGATAGCTTCGTCCGAATACAGGCGCAGTGGCCGTGGTTCTGTGTCACTAAAACTGGGATTGAAGGTGTCAGTCCTAGTTCAAGCACAAAACTGTTTCATCGGTTAGTTCTAGGTGAAGATACGGCCACAACAGAGTGAGAGCCAAAGCAGTCAGTTGCAGGCCTGGTATACCTTTTCCAGCAGGTCTACGTTTCAGCGGGACGATTACTGTCCCCTGTATGGACTCTAGATAACTGGGTTCTCGAGACGGATTCGACCCGAGATGGGAAGCGTAGCGAAGTGAAGGCTTGACGGAGATCAACCGACATCAATAGGCTGCGGCTATGAGATCGCCTGGAGCGAAGAGTAGGGGTTGATTTGGACGTCCTGCAGGATGACTTTGGAGTTGGAGGTGCCACTCGACAGGAGTGAGGAATGCGTTCCTCTATGTATGGACGGCGGAACGCTCGGATGCTGACACAACGCTGTGCGAAGCAGACCACAAGGACGCAGTAGTGGCAGAGTACAGTGAGTTGGCGGGACGGAATGCGTCGTGCAGTGAAGGATACTGAAGGCTTGTTGGACAGGACAAACTTGGGGTCGTGGGGGTGGAGAGACAAGGACCGTTTGGTGCCGCAGAGAGCCAGTGAAAGGAGGGCGGCGACGCAGAGTGATACAAAGTTGCTCCAGTGGCCGGCAAGGACCGCCGACCTGTCCATGATATAACGTTCGGCAGCATCCAATGGATCCCTGCTGGCGCCACGAGGCCATTGTCCAGAGGTGGAGGCGATGGCCAGGTGCGGTGCTGACAGGGCGAATCCAGTCTTGGGTTACAATGACCCCATGGAACGTCGTCTGAACATCTAGAAGGAGATATCCCAGCCGCTGTCGGTCCTATGAGATAGCCATCTCTAGCTTTAGCTGAAGAGCACACTGCCACGCTGAGGCTGCGAACTGGCGTCTAGGGCGCATAGCTGATAGCAAGCTGCAAACGAGCCTTCTCCAATTCGGAAGACAAGGCTCGTATTCAAACCGCTCAAGGCAAAGCCACCCGGGGAGTCTGAATCGAGCAATCATGCACGGTGACGGGAGAGCAACGGCAGCAAGTGGACCTGGAGGAGGTGGACGAGTGGGGGTGAATTGAAGCTGCTGGAAAGAGTTAGTGCTCGGGAAAGATGGAGCACGGACCTGCTGTGAGGCGTTCGACAAGAGGAGCTGTGCAAGTTGGAGAGGAGGGGATGTTACAATATTCAGCTCCCTGTCGAACAGAATGTTATATGGACTTGAGCAATCCGCTTGACAGACGCAAAGAGTCCGTGTTCAGTCTGTCAATGGGATCTGGTTTCCTCTCTCTCGAAGGAGAGAGCTGAAGCCGAGGAAAGGAGATACTACACTCCGATAATGCACACCGCTAACTAGCACAAGACGAGGGTAGCTTGTTGATTGCTTGATCACTTGATCGATTTAGCTAGATGCAAACTCGTCAAATGGTATCTCCAGAAAGCAATTGTGGTCTTGTTGGCATAATGGCGCCGCCTGCACGGTCATGCAGAACCTCTTCCGAGCCCGTCTCTACCCACTCGAATCGCTGTTCTCGGGAGGGGTTCGCACGCCCCGAAACCCCTCCCACACGTGTGCTACAGTTTGTCGCCCTTGCATGCCCTCCTACTGTGTACTGTTCTTCACTTGGCTTTCCTCTCCATTATGTCATAGCATCACCCTGATGTCCTTCTCGCCCATGTACTTCCCCAGTCCGTTGTCGAGGTGGTTCCACCATTCAAACAGCATGCTCTCGCAAATCAGCTTGAACCAAGGCGTGAACTTCAGCGACTTGTCCTGGAACATGGTCCGCAGATCGTCCTGGCTCACGTAGCACGTGTCTCGCACTTCGTTGGGGTTGACGTTGAGGTCCACGTCGGCCTTGATGAAGAGAATGTAGTCGACTAGCACAAAGGAGTCAGTGGTATGTCCATGTTCAGACGTTGCCAGAACCACTGACTCTCATGCTCACCCCACTTGCCGTCGCTCGGCGACTTGTAGTGTATCCGTGTGAGGAACTTCAAGTCGTCGAGGGGCACTTGGGCAGCCTTGATACCCAATTCCTGGTCCAGCTTGCGCACCGCCGCCCGGCGGACACCCTGAACCGACTCCTCCAGACCCACGCCCGTCTCTCCGGGTATTCCCAACGGGTGCGAGCAGCAGGTGTTTGTCCACATGTCGGGGAACGTGATCTTCTCGGTCGCGCGTTGCTGGAGGAGGAGCCGGTTCTGGGAGTCGAAGAGGAAGACGGAGAATGCGCGGTGGAGGAGACCCTTGTCAATGTTTTCCATCAAGTGGCCTGCGGGTTCTGTTAGAGACCGGCGCCTGCAAGGACAATGCAAACCATGGGAGTAGTACTTACAGACTTTCTTGCTCGCACTGCCAATGGGCGTGTCATTGTTGTCCAGCACGATGCAGACCTCATCCATCAGCTTGATCTGCTCCTCGTCGTACCCAGCCAAATCACCGTCCTGCGCGGCCGAGTGGTGCGTGCCTCCGATAACATTCTGGTTGACATCGGGGAAGAGGCGCACGACGTTTTCCGCCGTGATCTCCGGGTTCTGCGTGAGGGTGACGGATTCCTGTGTGACAGTGACGGTGTTGCTCATTTTGACGGACGTGAAGGTGAAGAGATCAGCGGGGGGAAGGGGGAGTCGTGGTGTGGTGGTAAAGCAGTGAAATCAAATGTTCGTGGGTTCAAGGGGCAACAATTGTTTGTTGGACCGGGCTTTATCTGTCTTCCAGGGGATCTGCAGATCGAGACCCGCCCGCGGAGCCGGAGCACCCGTGGACTTGAGGGGTGGGTCTTGTCACGTGCCAGGGACTGCAACTCACCCCCCAAGAGAGGCCCGATTAATAAAGTTACTCAAGCATACATACCCACTGTAAGAGACAGATTGAACATAAGGGCGGGAGACAAATCAATCCGAGCATCCATTCATCCAAAAGGAATGTAAAATAGCACCCTCAATGTGCTCTCGTCACCAGGATATCGATCTGCTAGCGCTCTATACATATATGCATACAGATTCGAGCCAACCGCATGTTCGGTCGGAGATCGATCAGGTATCGGAAACAATAAAAAATAGACAACTTTTCCGAAGCCGGAATAATGCATTCATACCCAAACCAGGACCCGGACATGACAAGGAAAACGCGCGAAACTCCAAGCAAACACCCACTCGTGCGAGTGTGAGTTCCTCTATGAGACGGTGACCGTCTTGGTCTTCTTGTTGGCCGGCACCTCGGCCTGGACATCCGCCGTCTCTTCCAATTGCCGCTTCTCCTTCTCCGACGAAAGCTCCTGCTCGGCGGCGATGTACTTCTTCTTCTCCTCGGCGGTCAAGCCCTCGAGGAGAGGCACCTCCTTCTCGTTGTGAAGGTTGTGGTGATACGCGCGGATGATTGCGTCGGTATCATCCAGCGTAATCTTCCGAACATCGGCCAACGCCTTGACCTTGGCAGTGCAGTCCTTGTACTGCGCATCGGTCATGTTAAGACCGAGCTGGTCGGCACGGCTCTTGATGGCATTCCAACCCGTAAGTCTGCTGGCAAAATGCACATATCTGGTCAGACCGAAATCGGCAGGGTTGATGATTTCATACGTCGAGGGGTTGTTGAGAACTGTGCCGAGTCAGACCTGGATGCCACCAACAAGATTCGGAGATACTCACTGGCTTTGGCGTGGATACCGGCCTTGTGCGTAAATGCGCAGAAGCCGGTGATGTAGTTGTTGAAGGGAACGTTGACCTCGACATAGTCGGCAACAAGTTCCTCAACCTCCTTGAGCTTCTTGAGGTTGTACTTGCTCAGCACCTGTGGGAGGTAAGTATGCGACCATCATTAGGCGGATGACCAGAAGAAAACGTACGTAGTCACGGTCAGCGACCAGCATCCTTGCCATCAGGCCACCGAGAGGAGTGATGCCGTTGCGCTCACCGATACCCAGAACGGAGGTATCAATGTGAGTGGCACCAGCCTCCAGAGCACAGTAGGCATTGGCAATGGCGCATCCGGTGTCGTTGTGGAAATGCGTTTCAATGTCGCAGCTGACGACACCTCTCAAAGTTCGGACCAGATCGTAGACCTGTCTGGGGCTGGCGCAACCGACGGTGTCGGCGATACCGACACGGTTCACGCCAATCTTGTCGACGGCGCTGTAAATGGAGAGGAGATCGACGAGGTCGGACCGGAAGGAGTCTTCGGAGCTGAAGCGGATTTCCTTGCCCTTGCTCTTGACGAACTCGATGACTTCAAGCGCCGTGTTCTTGATGCTGCGTCGGGTTAGTAGAGGTTCGGAGTACTAGACAGGCTTCCTTGTCCGCGGTGGGGAATGCACGAGCAAGTGAAAGACGGTGCAGAGGCTGAACGTACTAGGTCATGTCCTTTCCATGCGAGTGCTCGCGGAGGTAGCTGGAAGTGCCAATGACAACGTCAAGGCCGTCGACACCCGTCTCGACGGCGATTTTGGCGTCCTCGAGATGGCAGCGGACGTGAGTCAGGATCTTGGCCTTGAGACCCAGCTTGCAAATGGCTTCGCAATCTCTCCTGGACTGCTCGCTAGCGGCAGGTGAGGTCAGCTCGATGTAGTCGACACCGAACTCATCGAGGGCTTTGGCGATCTTGATCTTGGCGTCGAGGTCGAAGTAGGCGTTTGCGAACTGCTCGCCCTCGCGGAGGGTGCTTTCGATGATCTTGAAGCGGCTGACGTTGGAGAGGAAGTCGCCGACGGGCTGGTAGGGGCTCTTGTGGTGCGGATGGGGGTTGTGGGAGGACTGGATGGCTGAGTATCCGGGATGGTTGCCAGGTGCGCCGTTTTCACCGTTGGCGTTGGCATGGCCATTGGAGCCATTGGCGGGAGTGCCGTCGACGGGAGGGCACATGGTGGAAGCGGATGAAAATGGGAATGAAGGAGTAGAGTGAGATAGGGTGGGCGAAAGGCGGTTCTTATTCTGTGTGAAGGCTGGGCGAGGTTGAGTCAATGGGCGAGGAAGGGCAAGGATATGGAAATTTTCGTGGGTCCGCAAGTTGATGACAGAATCCATTGCAGCGCCGCCATCGGCCAGGTCAAATGCACGGGCCAGAAATGGGCCCCCGCCATCCAATGCTGCGGCGCAAGAACATTGGAAAGTGCGGAGAGGGCAGGGCAGGGCTGGCACCCCCACAATATCTGTCAGCGCTTAATACGGATACATGGAGCTATATCCTGCTGCGCAAGCCATATTGGTTTGCCGGCGCCTCGACTGGTCTCCTGTATTACACTCTATGAGTCGTTCAAGAATCTGTATCTGGACTTATTTTGGCCGCAAGCGTCCTGGTTGTCTTGGTAGCAGGACCGCTCTTATCGATATCGCTTAGCTGCCCTGGCGGGGTTCATCCTGGGAGCTCTGGGATGAGGATGATGCAGTGCCACAGCAACAGCCTCAGATGACAGACCTACTAACAGATGCAGATTAATAAATACCCACCCATCGCTACAGAGATCCGCGGTCCAAAGTAGTAACTCGTCTCGTGTGACGAATCCAGGCTTTTGACATGTTGATGGCTCCGCATATGAAGAGCAGCGCTGACGTGCATAGCCCATGATCTAGCCTCCAATTGCAAGTCCCTCTAAAAAACCCCAGATATATTTTTCTTTCCCTTGCACCCCTGCATGCCAGCATAACAAAGAGCTTGTATTTGCAGAAGCGCCTGTGAAACCGACATTACTTGACGGACCTGAGCGCTCAAGTCTGTCGTGCTCCTGTGGAACGTCGGAATACTCAGAATCGATGCACGTGAGCAGAGCAAATGGGGAGCGTTCCCGCAGCGTCCGTCCTTGTTACATGAACATCGGTAAGACGGTGATAATAGCCCAAACGTCGGTCCAAAAGCGGGAAGCGGCCGCTAAATACTTGTATCTGAAAGACTTGTCCATGATTCTTCTACTCTCCAACTCGTGGGAGTTTTCCAGATCGGATGCTGCTGACATTAAAGCGACATTGCCAAGATTTTCCTCTTCGGGAAAGGCGCCGGAAGTGCGTCAGAAGTCTCCGGGCTCCTCAGGCATTCCAACGTGCTTTCACTCCTCCGTACAACTAACTCTCATACATGGTCGACTGAAGCAGCGGTGGAGCCATGTTTGTCTGCAGGTAACCGTCAGCATGGACCAGTTCGTCTTTCGCTCCTCCCTGACCAACGCCACGGCCTACCTGCCATCGCCGGCCGATCTGCTCCTGGTCTTCCCACGCCTTCTCTACAGAGCCGGCCTCGTCCCCGACCACTTCGACGGCCTGGTTGCGAAGATTCGCTCCGGCGGCCCCAACATTGCCGGTCCAACCGCCGCAAATGTCACCAATGCGACTCTGCTTTCGTCTACCCTAGCTAACACTGCCAATACTTTCGTACAGCAGTCGACCGCCGCGGCGACCGCTGGTGCGACCAGTCCGCAAAGCGACACTTACGACATGATCCTGGCCTTTAAACATGTCGGCACCTTGTTTGAGTACCTCGCCACCAAGTATGCCATCGCAACTATGGCAACGGTATGTTTCCTGTCTCCTACCCCGGGGATCACGTTGACATGTCTCCATCAGGCTATCCTGCTCAATCGAACGCAGTTCTATGCCTCTAGTCGTATTCCTCTCTCGTTCCGCAAGCTGCACGTTAGGTTCGTGCTCTACATCGTCCCGATCCTGCTGTTCCTCCATCGGGCTCAATCCTTGCTCCGTGCCGTGCGATGCCAGACATCTCCCTCATGGTCCACAATACAATATGGCTCTCCGGGAGCATACCTGGACACTGACTTTGCTGGAGAAGGCGGTTTCCTCTTTCGTATGAGCTCTGCTCTCCTGCTCCAGGAACCGCTTGGCACGTCTTGCGCAGCAGTGGGAATGTTGCCGACTGAGCCAAACCTGACAAGGGCTTCCGGCTCCCTCCGCCTCATTTGGCCGTTCTTTGTTTCTCTCGCGTTCAGCGCCTTCGTCGAGACTCTATCCTGCGCCCTGCAAGGCCGACGGCCGCTCCATGAAACAGGCATGACTCTCTTTGAACACTCATTAGCTTTTGCCGAGGCCGAGGCTCTGGTCACAAAACCACTGAGCATAGATTGGGCTCAGCTTTGGAAGCCCAGGAATGTGCCCGCGCCTGATGGAACCGTCGTCCCCTTGCCACGCTCACAGCTGCTGAACATGGCCAATGTTCCCCCTGAAGTTCTCTTGTTGTCCATCATTTCCAGCTTCAGTCATCTTACCAGCCATGTCTTAGCAATGCTAGGTCTTCGTGCAAAGCTTCGCCTAATCACCACGAGCATATGGGCCTCGGCGTACATGTCTGCCTTGACATGGATGTTCCTGAGAGCCGGCAATCTACCGTTTCAAGGTCTCCAGAAGGGTGTTGTCAGGTTCCACGCCATGTGTGCAATGGGTTTCTTGCCACACATCTTTATCCTCATTGGTATCCTTGCCTGCGGGACCATATACGGCCTAGCCTTTATACTGACAGTGTTATCACCACCACCTGGCCAGGCCCCCGCATCTTCGTTACAGGAGCGCTTCTGGGTCGCTTACAGGAACCTACACGCCAACATACACTTGTCTGCAATCACTCCGATTACCATTAGCATGCAGGATGACTTTTACACCGCCATCATCAAGATTGGCTTCACAATCCTGACAGCTGCGAGTGAGGCCGTGTATCTGAATGAGGGCACCAAGGTCAGAGTCGAGTCTATGAGTTGGCTTGAGAAGAAGAAGCTGTCCGAGTACCTGGCTCGGCGTCGTCGATTTCGCCAATCGTTGGTTCCGGTGCCGCCGGAGTTGCTCAGGGACACCATGGGAGAAGGCATAGAAGCCGTCGACATACCCGGTACCAACGCAGCTTCCACAGGAAATCCATCTTCCGGCTACGCACGCGAGCGCAAGACGCGGCAGAATAACGACCGCTTAGCAGCACACAAGAGCGCAGTGGGCCCTGACGGCGGCGTCGGAGCTCGGCAACGCGAGGGTCGCTTCCTTCTGGCGTACCAGTTCCTCAACGGTATCTGTCGGCTCTTGCTGGCCATCCAGGCGAGAGCGATGTTTGCCGTCCTGAGGAGCCTTCGCATTAGATATAGACCTGCATGGCTGCGTCGTCTAGCAGGTCCTGGTCCTGTCGATGAAACTGGTCAGAAGGCTTTGTCGTCGAAGATCCCGCCATGGGCGAGATCGAGTCAGCCTTGGTCTTGGGTCGATGAACTGATGCAGGAGCATCCGTTGGAGGACCTTGATGTGGAGGATTATGTAAGAGAAGGTCTTCGCAGGACGGGGACGTATGATGATTGGGGAGCTGAACATGGGGAGGAGTTAATGGATCATTATCTCTATTCCTGGTGGAAGCAGGGTGGGCAGTGGGGAGATGTCGATACGAGCGGTGATTATGAGCCCGAGGTCAATGACGAGGATGAGGACGATACTACGAGTGTGGTCTCCATGTCGACGAATGCTTCAGAGTGGTCGGACATCAGCGATGGACAACGGACGCCGACTCAAGCACATTTCACAAGTACGAGGGAGTCTACGCCGCAACCTGCCATGCTCGACATCTCCCGCCTCGCGCACCTGCTGGACCCAAAGACACGCGAAGATCGAGAAGAAGCGCGCTTGCTCTCTCGAAGCCTGCAATCCCCAGGTATCATGACGAGATCCCGCTTCAGGAGAGAGAAGGAAAAGGAGGAAATGCGCCTCTTGACGAGTTCGCGCCTCCCGATCAACCTCGCCACCGACGCGCACATGAGCGACGAAGACGAAGAAAAGCTCCTTGAGCAATTCATCCTCGATCGGCGGCACGTCGCTGGATCCAACAGGGCTGACGGCGGCGCGGGTTCGAGCACATGGGATTCCGGCGCCGAAGGCATGGGCTCCGAGGGCCCGCAGTGCGTCGTTTGCCAGCTCGCGCCGCGCACCATTCTTGTCTGGCCATGTGGGTGCCTGAGTCTCTGCGATGAGTGTAGGGTCGGCCTGGCCGCCAAGAATTATACCACGTGTGTGTGCTGCCGCGCCAATGTGGTGGCGTATTCGCGGTTGTATGTGCCGTGAGGGAAGAAGACAGAGAGGGCTGTATGCGTGTATATGCGGGTCTGGGCTGGGAAGAAGTAGATGGGGCTGGCGGTAATGAGGGTTTGGACGGGAGTGCCGGGTGTTTTCATTTTCGCTTTCAGCGGCATGGCTTTGGGATGTGTGAGAGCGGATGTGATGTTTATACCTTGACTCCCTGCCTCAGTGTCTATCGGGGGTACGATGTGGTATTTGTATAAACTGCATAGGTGGGGAATACGATTGCTATGCGTGATAATCGATCCATTGAATCTTCTGTCTTCATTTTGGTCTACACACTTATTGGAGGCAGGAACAATCAATCCGTTTACGACGCAACTGAAATCAGGTATGTCAAATATCTGGATCACATTGTAACAGACGAGGACAACTATAAGTGCAGGCCATCAGATGCTTGGTATCTATTCTAACCATCCACCTACGCATACCCAAACATCTCAACGGGAAACCTAACGGCGAACACCGAAAAAAGAAGAAACGAGAGCACAACTCCCTACCGCCCCACCAACTGCGCCCTCCACTCCGGATCCACCTTACTCTGCTTGAAGAAGCTCTTCCCCCTCAACCACTGCCGATACGCCTTATACCGCTTCTTCTGCCGATCCTCGTCGCGCACATCGAGCGGATTCTCCTCGACGCGGAGGTACGTTTCAAACTCCTCGATATCTTCGGGGGGAACGGTGAACTTTTCCTTCTCTTGGAGTCTGGGTCTACCGCTGGCGGAGGTAGTGGGGCGCGAGGCAAGTGAATGTGCATGTGCATGCGTATTGGGGTTGGGATGCGGAAAGGGCTCAGAGAAGGAGATGGAGGCCGAATGCGGGAAGTGCTGGTGGGAGTGGCCGTGGGGGAAGGACGGTTCGGCAGGGTGCGCAAAGGGCGTGGCGTTGACCGACATGAGCGAGAAGGGGATACTTGCTACTGAGGCGCGCCTGGAGCTCATGTCTGCTTCGTTTCTGTTGGGTCCGTCGAATGGCTGTATGGCGGGCTCCTTTTCCACATGCGCGGGACCTGAACCTAGTCCATCGCACTGCTCCTCGCCCATGTTCAGATACTCGTAGTATTCAAGCGCGCTGGGGTCGTCGGCGGACGCCGTCTCACTGCTTACCACCAAGGGCAGATTTAGCGGATGCTCAATGTACCGCCTGTATTCGTCCTGTTCGCCCAGTGAGACGGAGGGATTGAGGCTGTTCTCGTAGAATTGCGTGAGCGTCCACTGATTCATGAGCGCCTTGTCCGCCGGGACAAAATTCCTTGGTGCGCCGGAGCCAAAGCCAGTAGACGAGGACGTTGTGAGGGAAGGATAGGCAGGCCGTGGCGTTGGTGCGGAAAGCGGAAGTTCGGTTTCAAAGTGCGACTCGCGGAGGATGGAATGCGTCGTTGGAGAGTCGTAATCGGTGGATGTGGGAGGGAGATGGGGTGCGGCGGTGTTGGGGCCCGAGTCGGTTTCGCTGGACGGGTCGACGATGGTGACTCCCTTTCGTATCTTCTTGGGCGAGTGATGGTCATTTCGATTCCTGCGCACGACGAAGGGAGAGAAATCTTCCGGATGCAGTGGGATGGTTTTATCCGGCCGCTGAGGGCCGGACTTGTCGTTCAAACGGTACGCAAAAACCTTGAGAAAGGAGGATAAGGCGAGAGGACGGTAGTATTCGAGCCAGTAGTCATCATGCCGGGCTACACTTCCATGGTCAAGCTTTTTCTGGGACCATTCGCCGGTGAGCGGAGGAAGGACTCGCTTTTCAAGGTGCTCCGCAGTGAACCAGCTGATATAGTTGCGTCGGATCTTGCTGAGCCACGTGCGCGGATCTTCATGATGAAGGTAATAGTCCGTCTGGAGATCCCACAGCATCGGCTGCCCTTGCGTGAAGATGTAGTTTCCTAGGAATAAGTTGTATGCCTCTTGCCGCTGCGAATCGAGGAAAGAGTTGTGATAATATCTCTTGAAGCTCTCCATCATATCCCTTGAGCTATTCTGCCAGTGATTGAGTTTTCGGTATGTAGCCATGGTATTGACCAAGTGAGAACCTCCATACTGGATCGCGATCTGGTCACCATGGTCGTGGAACATGCGCGTGAAGATCTCAACGCAGTCAGTATCAAACTCCACTGTCTTCCCCGAAATGACCCCCAGCGCATGGAGCTGGCGACCCAGTGCCCGCTTTCCTATCACAAACTGCGCGGCATTGGTCCTATCAAGACAATCGATACAGTTGGTTCTCGCGACACCATTCTGCACGCGAGGAGTATCGACGTTTGTCTCACCGTTATGGAAGAAGCCGGTAACTCGGATGACTTTCTCGGCGATTTGTTCCAGTGTGCCTATCACATCCTGACCGCGAGTTTTGGAAGCTCTTGACATGTCGAAAGCCTCATATATAATCTTATGATTCTGCGGAAGCGACTGATTGAGATAGTCAATTGCGGTTTTATACTCTTGTAGCAATTTCGACTCTCGTGGGATGCGTTCCCGAGCTTTGACGAGGTTCAAAACGTATACCGGAGATCCATATCTCTGGAATAGATTGTCAAAGTGAAGGGCCGCAGGAGTGTAAAACGGATCGACAAGGTTGAGGTCAATATCCGGCTTGGGTGTCACACCGGTATTATCCTGGGTCCAATACAAGGGGATACTTCCACGGTGTTGGACATAGGATGTATAATTAGGGCTTGTGTACAACCGGGGGCCAGGCGCGTGGAAGGACGTATTCAAAACATCCGACACGATCTGTTCCGTCTCGACATCGTTGGCAACGTAGCCCAAATCATTGGTTCCCCGCTTGAGGAACCGTGCTCCAGCGAAGAATCGAGATCGTCGTGCGATGATCGTGATGTAAACCCTGCGGCCATAGATATCGAGGGATGACTGATCAATATAGCCGTGTATTATTGGATGACACCAATCGTACACATTCTTGAGGGCGTCTCGAGCAGGATCCAGAAGGTAGTGGTTCCAGACAAACATATCCTGAAAATCCGGGTCGGGCTTGACGCGTCCCTCGTTGAGCGCCTTTCGCTCGTGGATCATATTTTGTTGAAGGCTGCGGGTTATATTGTAGGAATAGCTGAAGTAGAATGACCGATTCAGATCCAGATTGTTCAGGATGCTCAAGAAACGAGCCTCCTCTGGGTTTCTGTCTTTCTGGAAGCGCGATGTCGATCCAGTGGTAAGAGGTATCAGCTCAGTCCCGTCTACTTGATAGACGTAGTGGCCGCCAATCATTGCTACTTGTGCCCTTTTGGTGACGAGCAGCATGTAGTATGCCTCTGTGAAGCGTATGAAGCCTAGGACCCCCCATGCACTACATTTAAGTTTCATACCTCCGGTTCCCTTGTTGCCGTCATCAATAGCGTTCAAAAGCTGATTCATTTCCCGTTTACTGTAAATGATATCGTCCTCGAAGATATTGAGATGCCCAGGTGGCGAGGTGCGATCAATTTTCAGAACCCGATAGTGCTTGTCCATGATGTCCGCGCCAACAAGGTAAAACCGCGTGCTCGTTTCATAGAGCGAGAACTTGTGCATCCTGTTGATCACCTCCTCCCCGCCCTTATGCACAGTCTCCACAGTGCTCCTCTGCATCGCGGATGGGCTTCCGGACCTTGCATAAGAAACCAGGACAGCTGGGTCCTCCTCCTCTCCGCCAAATTTGGTAGGCTCCGTGGCACCACGTTGCACACCAGGCGCTTTCTCCAGGTCTGCCTCCGGCTTGAAGTCACTTGAAGGCAGCTCGCCTGGGTCCGCCGCAGAGGTCAGTGGCGAATCCACTGTGCTCTCACTACCTCTGTCAGGAAAGCTGGACTCTGTGACCGTTATAGATGCCGCTATAGAGTCCGTTCGCTCCCGGCTCTGGGAGTCGGACCTTGGAGCGTCCATATTGGTACAACTAGGCAGAACTAGTAATCGTTTGCGATGATGACTTGGCCGTGATATTAGAAGGTTACACCGTCAACTCAATCAATTAGCGGGATTCGTGTATAGATCCAGCCACGTCTTCCAACCATCGCCAGCGTGGAACATTTACGGACGCCGATTCGAAGACACTCAGTGGAACTTCAAGTGTGTTTGGTAAGTGTCGGTCAACATGCAAGGATCCTTGGCGGACGTCAACAAGGTTTGCTGACTAACAAGTCCAAGAAAAGGCTCCCTCCACGTGACGAGTGTATTCTTCACGGCTTTGCATTCTTGGAACTGCAGACGAAAAAGCATATAGCGTTGAACTGTGATAAAATGGTATAAAAGTGTCCAAATCATAAAATAAACTCAAAAGGTTTCCGCTCACCCATCGTCAAACCGCCTTCCTCGAGCGGCACACCAGCATACACGGCACTTCTTTCTTCCCTCTTATTTTGATTTTGCTTTTGAAGCACCAGCCTCAATATCACGGTCAAGATGCAAACAACAAGCATAAATGCTGCGCATATAGCCATACCCTTGAAATACCAAGGGCCGTCTTCTCTCGGAAAGATGCTGGTCCCTACAAGTGGTCCAGTTTGACCGATAACGTTGAGAATGGCCATACCTGTCCCCTTCTTACTATCACTTTCTTGGTTGTTAATCGTCCAGGTAATGATGATGGTGATGGCGGAGAAGAAGCCGGCTGTCGCAAAATACAGTGCGATGTAGCGGATGGTAGTGTCGGGCATTTTGTAGTACCCGGTAATGGTGAGGATGGAGTAACCCATACACGCTAGCAAAGAATGGAAGATTAACGGCATGGAGCGCGAGCGGTGTCGGTCGGAGAGATATGCTGTTGAGATGACTACGGCGAACGCGAAAAGGTAAGGAGGCGCCGAGAGGGCCTGGGCGTGTATAGAGGAGTATCCCATCTCCCGGATGATCGTGGGCATAAAGACTGGCATGGAACTGAATGCCACGTTGCAACTGAAGAACATAAACTGACTTTCTGTGAGTGACGTGAAAGATAGTCAACCATGTCACTTACTGCAGTGATGTAAGACTTCGGGTCCTTGAGGGTCTGAAGGACCTCACTGAAATTCACACCCCTGGGTGTCTCAGACGTACGTCTGAATTTCTCTCGTTCAGACTGCTCCTCTGATTCTTCGCGCTCTTTCCTAAGCCTCAGGACTGCTACTTCTTTTTCCCTTGTCGTCAACCATCTCGCTGTCCCAGGTCCGTCAGGCACGAAGCTCCAAGCCCAGACAGCCACAATGACACTCGGGAACCCCTCGAGCAAGAAGAGTAGCCTCCATGGTCTGATAGGCCCTTCTTCTCCAAGTGTGGTGATTAGCCATGCCAAAGCACCAGCAAAAGACGCAGACAGAGGGCTAGCAGAGATAAAAAGTCCCGTTCTCAAAGCCAGCTCATTTCGCCTGAAGAAAAAGGAAAGATAGAATGGGACACCAGGCCCAAAAGCTGCTTCGCCTATTCCTAGAAGCGCCCGAAGAATTAATAGAACGGGGAATGACGTCGCTATCGCTTGCCCAGAGGCAATGATCCCCCAAGACAGGATACAAAGTGAAATGTATATGTGAGCTGGAACAAGTCGATACCTACACACAGCCTGTCAGCACGGTCCTGGATTCCGTAGGTGGCTTCAAGGGGCATATTGTTCGAAATGAGCGGAGTACTTGCATGAGAGTCATCCATTCGAAGATGATGTAGGTGATGTAGAAGGCCCAGAGCAGCCATCCAAACTGCTTGGAGCTGAGGTTGAGATCCTCACTGAGGCCTGCTATACGCGCATTGCCAATGTCTGCAATATCAGATCAGCTACATTTCCTAGCATAGCCCGACGTGTGCCCAAATGTCGTTCTGCTCCTATCCAAAACAAGGGTTGCTCACTGGATCTATCCAGGAAGCTCAGCATATACAGCAGAGCCATGAAGCCAACCAATCTTCTATCCAGTTTTCTCCGCACAGAGCGGTCTTCATCCGGTGTGTAAAGTTCATAGCTTTGTATCGAGCTCAGGGACAGCCTTCGTGGTTTCAGCATTGCGCTGCCAGGTTCCTCATCATCTTCGACTGCGCCACCATGCCTCTTAGAGTTTTCTGATGAGAGAGGTTGCAATTCGTAGGCATTTTCGCCTTCGGATAACGATAGAGACACATTGGATCGAGCATCTAGGGATGCAGGGCGCGAATAGTGGCCATTCGAGCTATCTGAGTCGTGGTCGTGAGAAGGAGGAATTGCCGGTGCTCTGGATTGGGCCAGCATATTATAACGCCAAATACACACCCTCCTGGCGTAAGCTTATAGACCATATATCCAGGTACGTCTGTAGCATCTAGGGCTAATAGATCTAGAGCATGATGGTGTGGAGAGGTTGATGTGTGCTAGCCCCGCCCGCCGACAGGACGTGTGCTCCAAATGTTGAGTCCGTGCGCATAGATCCAACGCGCCAGAATAGCTACCCCTGTTGTATAGAAACGGTATATGCAGTATTAGACAGTAGAGTTACGAAAGATGTAATGCAGTCGATCGGAATATGATATAGAGGCTGATCCAATTCAAAGTAGTGCAACGTTAGGGTTAGACAGAGAACTGTCTTCATTCTATGCAGCACGGCAACCTCTACAATCATTATGATTAATATTAACCTCAAGAAGTAGTTTGCACTCAAATCGCAGACGTTAATGGCGCTTGCTCACACCGGGGTTCTCTACAGAGAAGGGTGACAGGGGTGGCGACCAAGCATCGATTGCATTTATATCTTTCATATACTGCAGATTTCATGACGAGCTCTGCTTCTGGACGGGGTCAATCACGATATTATCGATCAGCCGGACGGGAATCTGGCCACCACCAACCCCCAGGTTTTCACCCTCCTGGGGTTCCTCGACAGGCAACATCTTCACAGCTCCACTCAGAATGGCGCCTTTCGTCTCGTCCACCTCGGCGATCTCTTCCATGGTCTCTGGGTCCGCTAAACTGATATAATCCACCTCGAATAAGGCTCTCTGGTTTGCTGGCAGCTCTTCCTGTGCAAGTTTCACACTATTCGCGTGGTCATGAGCGGCCCACAGGATATCGTCGCGCTTCCTCTTCCCCTCTTTGAAGTGTGCCTCCGCTTTTCTCAGAGCCTGGTTGAGCACAATGCCCACCGACCGGCGTCGAGCACCGAGATACACGTTTCGTGAGGACAGAGCAAGGCCATCGCTTTCCCGCTGCGTTGCGCCGATCCTGACATCCATATCCAAATGAAAGTCTTTTACAAGGTTCTTGATAACAACAGTCTGTTGAATATCTTTCTGTCCGAAATAAACCCGGTCCGGTGTGCAGATATTGAACAGCTTCATACAAACAGTGGCGACTCCCCTGAAGAAGACAGGTCTTGACTTTCCTTCCAGAAGCTGGCCCAAAGGGCGCATTTCAACGAACGATCCTTTGCCGGGAATATTGCTGTCCGGAGGCAACGTGGGATACATGGTCTTCGTACTCGGCGCAAAGACGACAGACAGTCTTCCAGCCCCAGAGGCAGCTAGCTCTTTATCCAGGGTTTCCAAGAGTCGCATATCAGCCTCCCATGTTTTGGGATAGGAGTCCAAATCCTCATTGACACCGAACTGGGTAGGATTGACATATATAGACACAAAGACATCCGTATTCTCAGCAGCAGCTTTGCGGATTAACGATAAATGCCCCTCGTGCAGTGCACCCATCGTGGGGACTAGGCCAACTGTGCGGTTGTTGAATAGAAGGTTTTTTCGGTATTTCCGTAGAGCGGCAACATCGTGGAAGACCTCGGTTTTTAACGTAGAGGAAACAGTGAACTGGCGTTTAGGGATGATAGGTCCAACCCGATGATTGCTTCTTCGGAGACAGCCCGTCGGTGAACGAGCTGTTGATTGACAGAGACGCTTTAGAAGGTCGGAAGGATAGCGTAAAGACCCTCCCATGGCTGCTCAAGGTCCTCTTTCAAGGGCCGAAGGGATTATGAAGCTGCCGAGGGCCGGGACAGCAACCATGCAAATACCACCTCAGTCATGTTCATGCAATTGTCATTCAGAAAAGGTAATGTCAGTGCAAGTCACGTGCCGAGGTTGTCCTTGAGCACGGACTCGGACGAGATCCGCAGATCCGCGCCGCCACGAGTTGCGGGGCTCCCCAGCCACACTTCTTACTCAGCGTCCTCTCGAAGCTAGCAAGGATAATTTCTGGCAAAGTTCCAGTGTTGAGCGGAGGTGCGCAGTCTTGCCGTCCTCGTTGAATTCTCTTCGAAATTAAAAATGGCCGAAGATGGCATGCTCCTCAATTTCTCGATTCCGGACAGCGGCATTCTGAACAAACCGAAGTTCAAGGGAGGAACATGGAAAGACAGGTTAACAGCGAAGAAAGCGGCAGCGAACTGGCATGCGAAAGCGAGCGGACGCCTGAACGGAGAGGCAGCAGTGAGATCGAAGTCTTCGACGAATGCGAATGATACCGAACTAGGAGAAAGGGCGCGGCGGGTCTCGGGGAGTCCCGATCTTGAAAGACAGACCAAAAGAGCGAGGCATAGTGGTGACTTCAGGCCAACATCTGGGAAGCCCGAGGAAAATGGGAATTTCAGACCTCACACGAACGCAGAGGTCACTAAGAAGCCAGGCGAGAAACCAAAAGGCGGTAACAGGCAGATTATCTCCTCGCTGTTCTCGTACAATCCCGCGTCTACCACTCAGTCCTTGCCGATAGAAGACCCGGCGAACGATGCTCCCGTCGAACCTTCGAATGCACCCCTCAACAGCGAACTTGATACGTTCACTTCCCTCGGCATATCGCCCACGCTAGCGACACATCTGTTGAACAAGATGGACATGAAAGCGCCTACGGCAATCCAGAAAGCCGCTGTATCACAATTGCTCAAGGAAGATTCGGACGCATTCATACAAGCAGAGACGGGCTCAGGCAAGACGTTAGCTTACCTGTTACCCATCGTACAGAAGTTGATGGATTTATCCGCGAATATGAAGAAGCGGAAAGTCGACGAGGCAGTGCAGAGGAATTCCGGTCTATTCGCCATAATACTAGCGCCCACTCGCGAACTCAGCAAACAGATCGCAATAGTCCTGGAGAACCTGTTACGGTGTGCTCACTGGTTAGTGGCCGGCACTGTGATCGGTGGAGAGAAGAAGAAATCGGAGAAGGCGAGGCTACGAAAAGGTCTGAACATCTTGGTCGCCACGCCCGGTCGACTGGCAGATCATTTGGAACATACGCAGGCTCTCGATGTGAGCAATGTGCGGTGGCTGGTTCTAGACGAGGGGGATCGATTAATGGAGCTGGGATTCGAGGAAGAGATTCAGAAGATTGTCAGCAACCTGAACCTGCGTATGCGGGCGAGGAAAGACGCAAGATCACAGATACCGGGACTCCCGGAACGCCGGACGACGATTCTCTGTTCGGCTACCATGAAGATGGATGTTGAGCGACTTGGCCAGATCAGCTTGAAGGATGCAGTGCACATCCAGAGCGATCCTCAAGAGCGCGGTGGGGAGAAGGCCGGGGATAATGAGGACCAGGTGTTCCACGCACCGGCGCAGCTTAAGCAGTCATTTGCTGTGGTAGCTCCCAAGCTGCGACTGGTATCACTGATCAGCTTCCTCAAACGCGCCTTTGCACGGAAAGGTTCCGTCATGAAAGCCATCGTTTTCATCTCCTGCGCTGACTCGGTCGACTTCCACTTCGACATCTTCACCAACCAGCTCGAGGAATCCGAGGAGAAGTCCGAATCTAAAAGTGAGGAAACGCAAGAGGGTTCTCCGAAGAAAAAAGCCAAAGAGGCCAAAGCCGCTCTTCAAGCCGACCCCACTAAACTCACAGTCACTCACGCCACGTCCCCCGTCCTGTCTCGCAAAACACACTCAGTGACCGCCTACCGCCTTCACGGATCTCTACCCCAATCTCTCCGCACATCCACCTTGGCGCACTTCACCAGGAACAAGGAACCCAGCGTTCTCTTCGCCACAGACGTCGCGTCCCGTGGTCTTGATCTTCCCAACGTAGACCTCGTCGTTGAATTCGATCCAGCATTCGCTCGTGAAGATCATCTCCACCGCATAGGACGTACCGCGCGTGCGGGCCGCGACGGCCGCGCATGCATCTTCCTCATGCCAGGCTGCGAAGAGGGGTACGTCGAGATTCTGAAGAGCGACCGCAAGGACGGCGAGTCGGCCGTGCACATAACGCGGCAGGACGCCGACGAGATTCTGAGGAAGGGGCTCGTCACCTCGGGCGTGGCCAACGACAAGACTGCCTACATGGACAAGGCTACGGATCTGCAGTTGCAGGTGGAGAGGTGGACGCTCGCTTCGCCGGCGAGGCTGGAGAGCGCCAGACGCGCGTATCAGAGCCATGTCAGGGCTTACGCGACGCATGTAGCGGCTGAGAGGGGGTACTTTGATATCAAGCAGTTGCATTTGGGGCACTTGGCGAAGGCGTTCGCGCTGAGGGAGAGGCCGAGTGGGATGAAGGTTCCTGGTTTGAGGACGGGAGCTGGGAGGGAGAGTTGGAAGGGGGCTGCGAAGGCGAGAGGTGGACAGAAGAAGACAAATGGGGAGGGCAAGGCGGAGGTGCCGGAGGTGGATCCCAGTGAGGAGGCGGCCAAGATGCGAAAAGCGATTAGGGCGAGAGAGAAGTTTATGCGGTCTGCGGGTATGGCGGATGAGTTTAATCTGGGATGAGGTGTGTATATATTCCGTACATGTTTCAGCTAATCTGCGCCGACGAAGGCACTCGGGATGTTGTTTCAGATACCCAAGCAAAAGTTCAGTTCAAGACAGACTCCGTCAATTCGATCGTTCGTCCAATTTCTCAGTCCGTCATCAAGCACCCACGCTTTAATTTAGACCTTTTCAACACTCCCCCTCCCCATCTCTCCCCCTCACCCTCGCCCTCTCAACCGCCTCCTCCCATCTACATCCCCACGCCCAACCCCCCTCGACCAAACTGATCAAACCACTCCCAACCACGCACCCAACCCACAAACCCCTCAACTCCATCGCCGGCGCCCCAAAACAAAGCCACAGCGCCAGCGGCACCGCGATCCCGTAATACACGCCCAGATTCACGCACCCGCCGATCTTCTGGGCCCCAAGGCCGCGCAACACCGCATTCACCAACGCGGTACTCGCATCGCAGATCTGGAAAACGGCCAACACGGGCATCGTGCCGGACGCGATCCTGACGACGTCTGCATCCGTCGAGAAGGCGCTGGGAAGCACGTCGCGCAGGGCGGCAATCACGATGGCGTCTACGACACCCATGACGGCGAAGATCAGGACGTACGTCCTCGTCGCGGTGCGCGCGGCGTGCAGCGCGCCGGCGCCGATGAGATTGCCTAGCCGCGTGCTGACGGCCACGGAGACGGAGAAGGGGACGTGGAACATGACGACGCAGGTGGTCATGACGACGGACTGGGCGGCCAAGTGCGCGGTGGACAGGAACGAGGTGGAGAAAGTGAGGATGTCGAAGGCGAGCCATTCGGCTTCGACCATGATGATGCCTGGGAGGGAGAGGGCGAGCATGGGAGTCCAGTTGCGGAGGGCGGAGCGGGAGACGCCGGTCCAGCATTCTAGGGAGGAAGGGTAGATGAAGGAGATGATTAGGAGGAGGAGGATGGGGAGGAGGGTGTTGGAGAGGACGGTTGCGAGGGCTGCGCCGCGGAGGTGTAAGTGCCAGGTGAAGACGAAGAGGTAGTTGAAGAGCATGTTTAAGGGGGTGGAGATGAGGAGGACGAGGAGGCTGGCGTTGAAGAGCCCCTGGGCTTGCACGAAGCGTTTTCCGGCTTCAAAGATGGCGTAGCCGGGGCAACTGAAAAGGAGGACTTGGAGGTAGTTGCCAGCCATGTGGGCGAGTTTTGTTTCTGGGACGAGGGCGGCGAGGATGGGGCCCGAGAAGGTCCAGAGGAGCCCGATGGGGAGCGTGACGAGGAGCATAAGGAGGATCATTCGCTGGAGGTGTAGGCCGACTTGTTCTTTGCGGCCGGAGCCGTAGGCTTGCGCGCAGAGGGTATCAAGAGAGGTTGCTAGACCCTCGTATATAGCGTAGCCCGTGATGTTGGCCGTCATGGTGGCTAAGGAGACGGCTCCAAGCTCCTCGGTTCCTAGGTGGCCGACAACGAAGATGGTGACGAGGCTGAAGCTGTATTGCAGTAGATAGGTGATGGTCAACGGTACCGAGTATTTGAGGAGGAGTTTGGCTTCATGGCTGGCGGTAGTGGAGAGGGATTCTTCGTTTTCTCCTAGGATCGCTTCGAGCTCGGAGACATCAGCAATCGTTCCATACTGCGCTGACTTGTTCACATCAAGAGGTGTAATGAGCGGGCTGGCAGTAAATGAAAAGCGACGAGGTCCTTCGGGCGCATCCATCGTCTCCTTCAACTCAGAGCGCCTGCCTGTATATCATTATGAGAATGTTGGACTTTATCACTGTTACTGCGTTTCGCGATCGGAGAGTCACCCGAGGTGCCGTGGATGGCGGTATCGGAAGGCTAAGAGACAAGCAGTAAAGCGGCGACTTCATGTCCTTTTCCCGAGAGGCCTAGACTGTTCGACCAAAACGCGACTCTGCGGGAATCGCATAAGATTCGGTTGTGTAGGCGGTTTCGATCTATGGGATCCGGACTAGAGTCAGATGTCTCCATTCTACTTGACACCTACCAAGTAGTGGGATGTCTTGATTGCCCGCGACATGCTGACAACACCTCCGCACTCTGCACAGGCATGACAGTACATGTAGTGACCATAGTGCGAGCGCAAAATTCATCGATTTGTTCAACGCCTGTATCTAATGCGCTAACTGATCATGAGTTTATTTGATCAAGATGGGTTCATCAGATACACCCGGAAATGCTTCGACAAGGAAATGGGTATCTCTATGCGGCCACCGACCATAAACATGTAACGCCAGATCCTCCATGAAAAGTTCCAGATGGTAGAGAGAAAGACAGAGAAACTCCGCGATAGAAGTGGGCAATTCTTCGAGATCCCCAGCCGGAGTCAAGTATCCACACCAAGCGCACTCTCCAACAGTGTCCCCAAGCCAGAACGGTTGGTCGGCCTGCCGCTAATCCGACCCGTCAGGAGTTTTGGAAATCCCTTTTGCCTTTTTACTTCCGGCTGCCCTGCCTCTCGCCTTCTTGGGTGTACTTCCGCCTAGACCGGCACTGCTCTTCCTCTTGCGACCCTTCCCACTTGAAGGGGCAGCGGACACGCCATCGTCCATCTCTTCCGGAGTCTCGTAGCCGGCGGCTGCTTTTGCCAGCTGCTCGCCTCCGTCTGCGTCTTCGTCCGCAACGGCATGCTCCCTGTCCACGTTGATGATTTCAGTAAAATCCTGACATTGCTTTCTCATGGCTTCGGGCGTGTCAAGGGCCGTCATCAAGCCTGTAGAACGGTCCCAGATTATCTTTGGGTTAATCAAATGGAACTTGTTCGCAGGTTTCTTTAGGTCGTTCGCGGTAAACTTCTCCTGTAGATTGAACACTTTCAGGAGGAACAAGCGCGTTTCCCACATCATGGACAAAATCATAGAGCCAGATGTGATTTGTCGCAGACGCGCGGCAGTAACAGAAGGCCTGCCAGAGGCCTGTGATGGACCATCGGGGATAGTGCTGTCGGACACCGGTTGAGGGTGCTGCTCCGTTTGTTGTTCTGGTAACTCCGTCTCAATAGCCAGCGCGACAGCCGGGCCAGTCTGTTTGAGTACGATGCTCTCGATGGACACAATAACATGTATGACCTCGTCGAGCCTGGCGTAGTCAAATAAGGCGAGATTCTCAAGACAAAATCTGGCGAATAGAACGGCCTCTGGTATGGTGTCGTCGGGAATCTTCAGCTTGTCCAGCTCAAAATTGAGTTGATTAAGCAGATTAGTGATGAACTTCTTCAGCGTCTTCCGTGAGCCCTGTTTCAAAGCATCGAAGAGGAAGTGCATCTTCGGCTTGAAACTGGTTCCAGATTCCATCATTCCGTGAGGACTGTTGAGAATGTCTCTCTGGTACTCGAACGCCTGTGTGATAGCCGCAACGTACTCCTTCTCAAACATGGTCTCATGCTGCAGATGGATTTTCCGGTGTTCTGCGGATGCTTTGAGGGCAATCTCTGGAAAGAGGGATGTGCTAAGGGCGACAAGAGCAGCACCGCATTCTTTGGGATGGAGAAGTCCCTGTCGACTGATGCTCACAAGGATCTCAGTTGCAGTATTTGCCAAATCCCTAGCTTTGCCGAGTGCAGTACTTGTAATGTTGGGTAGGAACGTTCGTGCAATGTGAGTCGTTGCATGATCGTTATCGCTCGCGGAGAAGGAGGTTTCCAGTCGTTCAGCTCCATGTACGGCTCCTTCACCAACAGCAATCTCAGCACCGCTTTCTGACCGGCGCTCCGCGGTGTGTAAGAAGTCTCGAAACTGTGTGAGCACCACCCCGATAAGCCTGTCGTCTCCATTGATGAAAGGGAGCTTGAACGCCTTCTCAATATCGGCGCGAGTGAAATGTTTCGTCTTTTGCTGGCAAATTTCGCCAATACTGCAGAGGGCCTGTTGACGGATCGTTATATCCCAGCTCTGCTTGGTGAAAGGAAGAATAAGATCCAAAAGGAGCACGGCAACAGACGGACCCTTCCATGCGGTGAGGCGCCTCAGTTGTTCCGCCGAAGCCTTCTTGCCTGCAATGCTCATTTGGATCAATCGCGCCAGGTTGGCTTTGAATAATTCCACGTGTTCGTCGAAATCACAGATTTTGCCAAATGTACCCAAAAGGATCATGTAAGACAGAATGCGTTTCTCAGCCGCTTCCATCCTGTCCTTCGGAATGGTGCTCAGGGGCTCCAATTGGGTGACAACAGAGCAAATCATGCTCGTCAACTTCTCCAGCCCCGACTTGACACGAGGCGGATCTCCCTTGACAAGAGGGGAAATGGTCCACGAGCAGTGAGCGATGTCGAGGAGGGTTTGCTTGTACATGGCATTTCCTTGTGCAGCTTGCAATGCTAATTTGCCTGTGACTTTATTGAGGGAATCTTGCACCTCCGCCAGGTAAGCTTCCTGCAATGTTGACAGAGCCGGAAACACATAGCGAAAAATAGTAACAGTCGGACGAAAGACAGCCAAATCCTCAGTGGTGGCGAGGCTCTTCACGTACAGTTTCAGGAGCTGCACCTGATCCGCAGTGAACAGTCGCGGGTCTACTTTTGCAAAGATACTCAGCGTCTGCAGGAACCTCGGCTGCGTTTTCTCTGTAGTGTCGGAATCACTGCTGATGACGCCTTCGACCATATCAGCCACCAAATCTTTGCAAATCTTGAAGCTGTCTGCTGCGTTCTTGGTCGTAGGTGAAAGGAGTGCCGTGAAGAACGTCTCAAATGCTTGGAGATGGGCAGGCCGCGCCTGAACATTCTGCACCGTGGCTACTAGTAAGGATACTTGCTTTTCTCGCGCAAACTTCGATTGATTGTCATGTGAATTTCCAGAGGATCGCAACGGTTCGACCCAGATTTCTTCCAGGGTCTGCCGTGTTAAATCAGCAATGGTCTTGTCGTCGTCGCCGATCGGAAGGAGGAGCTCCGTAGAAATCCTGATTTTCTTTTCTATTGCACTGGAACCTTTGAAGATATCCTTCAACAATTTGATGGCCTTTCTCTTCGGCCCGACCGCGGGGTCGGTCATGAGATTAAGAATCCCTGCAAGGCAGTGATGCTCCAACGACGGATTTTGTTCCAAACACTTCGATATCAGCGTGAGGGCATTCTCACGAACCATGGGTGAGCTATCCCCTATAAGACTCGCCAGAGCGGGGAACGACTTATCATCAAGAATCTGGGGGTCTTTTTCAATCAGCTGTGTTAAACAGCTCATGGCACGTGATTTCACTTTGGCTTGATGGTTTTGGGTGCTGCGAAGCAAGCATGAGATCAAAGGCTGTAGGTACTGGCAAAATCGCTCTTGTGAAGTAATGATGCCGGCGGCTAATCGGCTCTCCACGTCTGTCACGTTGTGGAATTTGCTACGTCGCTCATTAGCACAAGCTGGCAATGGCAGGAGGGCGATGCTTACCATCCTTTAGCCAACCAGTTGGGGTCTGCGAGGACAGACTGGAGATGGGTCCCGAGGTCAACGAAGAAGCTGGAGCGAGGAGCCTCGGCCTGCTCCTTCCCGAGTGCTTCGTCGAACGCATTCGCCCAAGAAGTAACATAGTAACCACTCAAAGATCGCAGGTGTTGGTCGTCGCGATTGGCACGTGAACTCTGGGATCCTAGATAACTTGACAACGACTCGAGCACGATGCGGTACGGGCCGTTCACTGCGAGGACATCCTTGAAGTTTATGCTTCGTTTGAGCGCCTCGTCGGCCAGAGGAACCAACTGGCTGGCCACTTCAGACTGAGAGACGTCGAGACTTCGTTTGAGGTGCCTCAAGCGAGTGGTGAAATCGATAATTCCAACTCCCATGACGCCTACGGTTGCCAGCGCCATGTCCGCAGCTTGGACGCCCTTCTCCTTCTGGTTGCGGATGATATTTAGCATGAGAATGAGCAATGATTCGAGGAAGAGTGATGCAGCCGGCCATTCTGGTGACCCCAAAACAGTACACAAGTCCTCAATAAAAAGGTCCAGGAGATTGCGGAAGGGTTTGTCTCCAGATTTAGAGACCTTCTCTGCTCGAGCAACAAGCGTGCTCGCGATATGGCCAGCTGCCTGTCGAGAGGCTACACCTATCTGCTTTGCTATTTGAATGGTATTGGCGTGTTTGTTGGCCCGCTTTTTCATCTTTGACCGGTAATCGGACTCCGAGTCACTTTCGGCATCCCCATCGTCTTCGTCTGACTCAGATGTGTTTGGTAACATGCTTCCTCCTTTTGGAAAGGTATTGATGGCAGCCGCCTGGATAATGCGCATGAAGAGAGCGGAGACAAGCATTATTGGCTGTTCACGGGCCGATTTGAAGTGTCTGGCGCTGGCCCTCTTATCTGGTAACCGCTCCAAGTTGTTCAGGATTTCGGCAGTGATGGAGAGACGCTGTTCCTGGTTGCCCGCGCAGATTTGCGCCAAAACATCCATCGCCTTCTGTCGGAATAGTTCAAATTTTTGTAGTCCCAGCGCCGAGTCTGCCTCCTTATCGCTGTTTTGGGCGAAGATAATGTCAATAGATAGTGATTCAATGGGACTCAATGTAGACTCGCTTAACTTGACCTTTCCAATCAGAGTGGCAATGTGACTGAGTATGTTCCCACAAAGGCGCTGCAGAGGATATACATCACTGCGATGTTGAGACGCCAAGGCGAACAAGGCCGACAACGTGCCAGTCCGCCTAGATTCCGTGACCGGAATGATGCACGAGTTCAAAACAAGTTTGAGCAGACGGACGACGCATTGGATGATATCCTCTGAGCATATCTGGCGGTCATCACAACCCTCGGTCATGGTTTGAAGTACCAGCTTGCACGCCCTCAACCCTGCCTGTGCGCTTGCGAGACGTTCGACGATGATCTCCGGATCTATCAGTTCGAGGTCGAAGGAGAGTTGGCCGGTGGCTGCAATCAACGGTTGGCAAAGTGACTGAATTGACAGCACTTGTTGTATGGGAACGGACGAAAAACAGCCTAGGTTAACGACTCTGGACACTGCGTCTGAAAGCTTGGCGAGAGCATCATCGCGGATGACTGTCAGCTCGCCATCTTCCGTATCGATGATCTGAAAACAGTCGGTATCCCCGGCCTCCGAGAGCTCTTCCAAGAGAGCACTGAGATCAGCCATATTTCTATCGGCTATCTCACGCTCCCGGGCACTTAGAGCCGAAGCTCCGTTGTCTGCCGGCTGTTTCTTTTTCTCAGATGGATGACTCGGCTCAGGCGCATCAAAGCGGCGATACTCCTCGGGACGGACGGCTCCTGGAAGCGGCTTTACGACCACTGCCGCCCCCGGACGGAGCAGTGGAGCAGATGTGCCATTCCGCTGCACAGAGGATCGCTGGGTATCACTTGTGGGGTGAACTTTGACCATGCCATTAGTCCCGACTGGCTGGGAATTTGACGTCGCCCGCGAAGTAGAAGGAGGGGTGGGTTGTCCGTTGGAGACCCGACCCTGCTTAGGCTGCGTTGGCGCCGTGTGCCCGGGGTAGATGAAGGACACTTCGCTACCTTCTAGCAGCATACTGGCAAATGGACTGAGAGTAGGCTTCAATGACATGGTAGCATTCGGCTGCGTGGCGGTCTCACTATTCGACGAGGACGGCGAGAGAGATGTAGTGGATTTGAATCGGCTATGGCACGTTAGTAAGCTCTGGTTGGCGTGGAGGCGCTATCTCACAATTGAGTCAAATCATCCGGGTCTAGAAAGCCCTGCAGTTTACGAAGAGTATGCTGCAGATGCGGAGAAACTGGCGAAGCTCGTGCCTCCTCATTCAGAATCTGGACTGATCGTTTTGCCGTGCTCCGCTGTTCTGGGGTGAGGGTCGAGGGCGGCGTTGGTGGCTCGGCGGATGGGAAGGGTATGACATCTGAATTCGTTAGAAGAGTGATCAGTGGGGAGAAGGAAACTGCGAATAGTAGGTGAAGGAGCACTCACCGGAGGAGAATGGGACGATGGAGGTGAAGGGGGAATAGGGTAGCGCCTCGTCCACCGTCGGTGGTCGAAAGGGCAGCCCCCTTTTGGCGGAGGGCCAATTGCCATTCTCAGGTCCCGACATGGTGAGAGTCGACGGTGAGAGGTTGCAACGCCGGGACTGCGATACACATGGAAGCAGAACAGTCGTCCTATGATCCTTGGCCGGGCGGACGGAGTGTCAGGACGGAGGCGGTGACCGTATGTTCATGGCGGAGAGTACGAGAGACGGAGCCCGCCGTGAAGTTTTGGAGAGTGCGGCAGGTAGCAAAAGAAGAAGCCGAGATGGTGGTGGTTGCCGAATGCGTTCACCCTCTCACAGTTCCGTACTGTCGCGCCTGACCGCCTTCGTTTTTGTACTAGTGGCTTGGCATGTCGATCTTCCGCCCGCGCTTTCCCGTGCCGACGTGTAGGTACGTGCGGCTGATTTTCACGCTCAGGGCTTGCCAAAACATTTCCTGAAAATCGCCAATTCGTTAAACCACTCCCCGTCGCACGCAACAATGGCTGCGATCGGCTCTCTCGTTTTCTGCACCGACTGTGGCAATCTGCTGGACGGCAGTGCCGGCAAGCAAAATGCCATCCTAACCTGCCAGGTGTGCGGAGCTTCCTGTAAAGGTTTGTTGGAGACTACCACAATCCAGCAACTGTGGGCAAGCTAAGAGGATCCTGCAGATACTTCATCCAAGACCATCGTCACTCGTTCCAAGCCCACGGCGTTCCCCTCCTCTCTGCGGGCGAAACGATCCGAAGTCCAGACGCTCAATGAAGAAGACATGCAGACACACGCATTCGTCGACCACCGCTGTGACAAGTGTGGACGAGAGCGGGTTCGCTTCTATACGCAGCAACTGCGAAGCGCAGATGAAGGCACCACGGTGTTTTATGTGTGTGAATGTGGTAATAAGTGAGTCATCCTGCTCGTTTGATTTGACATTCCCACATTGACAGCAATGCCACAGATGGAACGCCAATAACTGAAGAGGAAATCTATCATTGATAAACGCTTTCCCGCCATAACGCCATATGTCTACCCAATTGCACAAACCCTCGATTCTATGCTGCCACTGTCTCACGATCAGGAACAATGGCATACTCGGTTTCTCCGTTCTTCTCAAACTCAGCCATATCAAGAGCCACTATGACGCTCTCCCGAACTACTTGCTCGGGGTCATCCAGAAATTTCCTAAGGATATCCTCAACGCCCTCCTCGTCTCCAAGGCTCCCCAATGCCTCGGCGGCTTCGTGTCGAACCATGCTCGCCTCCTTCGTGTTACTCAGCGTTTCGACAAGGCTAGGAATGGACGCGGGATGCGACAGTTGGCCGAACACAAATGCGATCTCATGACGGAATAGTGCGGATGGGTCGCTCAGGCCGCGGGAGAGGGCCTTGATGGCGGGAACAGCTGTGGGGAGATCTGGAGGTGAGGAGAGATCACGCAAGGCGAACATGGCTCGGTATCGTTGGAATAGTGGTAGGGATGTGTCGAGAAGGGTCTTCTCCAGGTCTTCGATCGAAGAAGCCTGAGAGGCTTGCGGTAGTGGTGGGGCGGGATCTATTGAGGCGAAGTCGCTGTACCCATGTTAGCGGCTTACTTGTGAACTGTACTACCTTTCATACCTCTGCTTGAGCTGTTCTTGTTTCCTTTGTACGCCGTGCTCCCACTCGATGCGGTCGACGGCAATGTCGCAAGTCTCACGGACTACATCCACCTCCTTGCCATCATCCCTCAACTGTTTCAGCAGAGGCAAACTCCCCATATCCCCAATAGCTCCGAGGGCTTCTGCAGCTTCGTGCCGGCACATGGCATCCTCCTCCTTATTCTCCAGGACCCGTCTCAGCGGTGGGACGGCGGCATCGTGTCGAGACTGTCCTAGACAGTATGCGAGCTCATGCTTCAACAATGCAGAAGGCGATCCAAAGGCTGCAGCAATAGCCTCAATAGCAGGTACGGTCTGCTCGGTCGGCGGCTTTAGAGAGGCCAGGTACTTGAGGGAGAAGAGAGCGCGGAATCGACGCGCGAGGGGTTCTTGTTCGGAAGTAAGGATGTTTTGGAGGGCGAGAACTTGCGGATCGGCGGTGATAGAATCGTTGGCGGTCATGGTGATTTTTGTGATCGCAGGAAATATGGTCGTGATTAGACTTTTGTACCTGGGAGAGACGGACCTGCGCTCTGCTCAGTTGCTCTGGGACGCGCCCAACCCACTCTCTGAAATTTTTGGCGGGGTTCTCTCCATTCGACAAGGGTAAATCCCGCCATTATGCGGATCAGATAAGATGAGTCATGTGACAGCGCATCAAACCCCAGCCACCTCCAGCCTCAACTTCACCGCCAATATCTCCCCTTCACATTCACTCCTCGGAGTCCGGTGAATATGATATTGCGTTTCGCGTTCTTCACCTCGAAGCATATCACCTGTCTTCTTACAATAGCAACAGCTTAACCGTCGTCCTGCCCCCCCCGCGATTATTCCCTCAGCCCCTTTTAGAGTCTACTTTCTTTGATCGCGACGCGAACGGCGCGGGCTTGTGTCTTTGTTTCGCACTCAAGTTCTACATCCCCCTCTTCCACAACAACTTCCACCATGGCATTCATACGCGACATTTCAGACCGTTTCTGGAGTTATGTCAGTCCTCGCAAAACACAGCAGAAGCGCGACAAGGAATTCAAGGCCAAAGTTCCTCCACTGCCGCGACACACGAGGCAGATGCCAGAAATCACGCTCGATGAGCCCTCTAGCGCCAAAGAGATGACTCCGGATACGCTGTTCCAGCGATGGAAAATCGCGACGCCGAGTCCCAGGGAGCTAAGGAACTACCACTCGCCGGATATGATCTCACCCTCTCCTCCGTCCTCGCTAGAGCGTGCATATACCGACTTTGAAGGCGACACGTTGATCGACAACATAGCGCAGACCCTTAATTCGGATCCCGCTGAAGAATGGGACGCCAACGAGGAGACATATGTGCTAGACGAAGCCGACTACGTGGAACAGCGCAAACAGCAAGATGCAGAGTTGGAGCGCCAGCGGCGCGAGCGCCAGGGTCAAGAGCTACGCAATGCTGGGTGGACCGAAGATGCGATCTTCCTCTTCCAGAAGCTGGGGATGCGTGGGTTTGAGCCTCTTTTACCTGCTACGTGGTTCGCGGATTTCCCAATGCTCCCGGCGGACCTGTTTACGAGGAATATCGATAAAGCGTTCGTTAAGCCCAGCTCACCCGACGTCGAATATCACGGTACGTATCGACCCCGGGTTGCCGTGACGACTTGAAGCTAACGCGACCCAGCCTTCCGAGCGCTTGACGAACTATTCGGCCTGGGTGGTCGCGTTCGAGATGCAGTCCTTCAGAAAGCTCCTATCCGCACTGCCGAGAAACAAATTCGGGCTGCAGTGTTGAAATATAACAAATGGGCGCTCCGCGACGGCAAGATTGACAAGGTTTGGAGAGATTCATCCCTGTTCGAGATCATCAGCGTGCCCAAACATATCAGCGCCAGCGTGGCCGAGGCCAAGATGCTGCGAAAACTCAACAAACGTGCAGAACTCTGGCGCGAGGGTTTCGAAGAGAGGAGGATTCAGAGGAGCAGCCTGAAGAACGGGAAAGAAGCGCAGAAGCTCGATGATGAGCCCGAACTTCCGACTCTATATGGTGTAGTTGCCTGCCACACCGTCATGGCCTTCGTCAGCTACGATTCCCAAGCGACAGTACCTCTTCTCCGGACCGTCGCCATGTTTGACCTGGGTCAAGAGGGCTATGACGTCTGGAACTCCCTGGCCATTGCAATCTTCGTGATCCACTGTCGCAACCGCCTGCTGGAATTGCGGGATTCGCTGCCTCAGCCAGAACAACCTAGCACACCGAGTGATCCGGATGCTTGATTCTTCAGATGAGAAAGTCCTTCTACACAGGGCAACTGAAACGGCCGAGGTCACGAAATGCATTATCAAAGGAGGATCACTTGTTTGTGGGTTCAAGCATTTGCGGGAGTTGCGTTCTGTACCCTATACCCCTTTCACCCTATGGTTTCCCTTTGTCTCCTTTGTATCTCGGTGAAGAAGTTGCACACAATTTCAAAAGGATTTGTTGCGCTCTTTTACCCGTCGTTCGCCTACTTGTCATTATAGAATCCAGGTGAATATAAACTGCAAAGCAATTCTAGGAGTCAAGTTTCTGCTGGAGGGCGTTGTCTGATAGTGTTTCTACCTAAAAATGTAGCCGTGAAGGCATACCTACTAGTAGCCTCGCCACTCTACCCCCTTGCCCTAAAGCCATCTTTCCTTGACCGATCTCTTGATCCCTTCTCACACACCTACTCATACTCCCCCCTCGCAATCCTCTCCGCCTCCTCCCCAACCCTCCCCACCACCTTCCCCATCAACCCCGGGCCCACACTAATCCTCGCCACGCCCATCTCCCCCAACTCCCTCACACTCAACCCGCCCGCCCCCTTCCTCTTGAGCGAAACATTCAACCGCCCCCCAAACGCCTCACTCAACCTCTGCACCTCCCCCCTCGTAATCCCTCCCCTCTTCCCCCCACCCCAAACAAACACATTCCACGCCCCAGCCTCCAAATACCTCTTCCCCCTCTTAATAGCCTCATCCACACTCCCCCCATAAAGCAAAACATCACTCCTGGCATTGACCACGAAATCCGGCACCCCCTCCTCCGCCGCGACCCTCATCACCCTTTTGATCCTCTCAACCGCAACATCGACATCATACAACCCCCCGATCTCGCGACCATAGTCCTCAAGATTGACACCCACGGCGCCCGCGGCGATGACTTCGCGAACCCCTTCTTCGAGGCGTTCGGCGTAGCCGTCCTGGAAGTCGACGGTGAGCGGGATGTTGTGTTTCTGCGCGATGCGGCCGATGGCCCGGATGCTGGCGAGGTTGAGGTCCAGCGGGAGGTCGTCGTCGTCGAGGCCGTGGGAGGCGGCGACGGCGAAGGAGGCGCTGGCTAGGGCAGACGTTGTGGGTAAGGCGGCGATGGAAGAGGCCGAGATGGCGTCCCAGATGTTGGTTAGGAGGAGCGGGGTGCCGGGTTGGTGGAGGGCGCGGAGGCGGAGGGCGAGGGTGTTTTGCGGGGAGGTGGCCATTTTTTTGGTTTTATTATTTTATTAGAGCTGAGGGGTGGAGGGAATAGTTAGAAAAGGGCGATGGGGCGAGAGGAAGGGGGGTTGAGTTCGGGGAGCTTAACTTGGATGGACGTGGTTGGCCGTTCTGATAGAGTCGAGTTGATTGGGAGGAGGCAATGAAAAATCAAGAACTAGAGAACGTGGAAAAGAATGGCCAACGTATTTATACATCCCCCAGCTATTGAAAACGGTTCCTAAGCACGCCCTCTACCTCAACGTCCCTTCGCGCGATTACTATGCTTTCAATATAGCAAATAGGAGTCGAGCTAACCCATGTCGTTCCAAGGCCGTTAATATGCGGGCCTAACGGAAGAGGCGGTGCACAGGCGATGTCGAATGTATGACTATAAACAAGCTGAGAAGAGGAATCTATACGATGTACGCGTCTTGGAGCTGCATGTCGTGAGAGCCAAGGAACGGAAGTGTGGGGTTGTTGGCGGATAGGAAAGGGAGCTGGTTTGCCCATGAAGAACGGTGGGAACGTAGAAGACTCAGCCAGTATACGTTTGAATATGGACTGAAATCCTCCCCGGTTATCACCTAACAGTAAATGTACCACTGCTTCTTCTCACTGCTGATGTACACCGTACCATCCATTAAACTATTACACTGAGACTTCCCACCCTCCAAAGCCTCGTGAAGCGCATCCATGTCATGGACAGGGTATTGGGTATCATCTTCGACAGGTCAACCCGCACCGAATGCATATGGTATAAAACGCCATGCAGAAACATGCCGCACCGTTTTCCTTGCTGGCAAAAGGCACCCAACAAATGCAACGCCGAACTGAATAAACCGCCCAATGCAGCAGGCCTGGCAACCCGTAGAGAGTAGAACCACGAAGTGCAGAAGGAAATCGAACGGGAAACGCGAACCGCCCGGCACCATACGCCCGCCTCTTACTGGAACTTATCGAGAAACCTGAAGAGAAAGTAATCGTTACCGGAAAGGTGGACAATGCTTCAAGGCCGCGCGACACCGTCGTAGTACCTTAGTCCACTCCGAGTGTACCTGCCATCATCTGAAAAATCATATCGTGGCAGAGAACCCCCGCCCTCAACATGTCCATATTGAGGGAAAACGCGCCCTTCAGGCATCCTATGCTGAGGCGGAGGGGGCGGATAGGTATACTCAGGCGGAGCGCGAGAATACATGGGGCTAATGCGCGCAGGATTTGAGGCCGGCATGGCAACATAAACCTGTCTGGGCCTTTCGTCGGTGTATCCAACAGGATGTGCGGGGACATAGTTCATGTCGCCGGCAGGTAGTAACCTGGGCCGAGCATCAACAACAACGTGCTCAGGACGGAGAAAAGTCCTACTCGGTCGCTGAGCTTCAAGTTGCGACAGCAAGGGGTCAGATCTGAGATGTTCATTTCGATGCTTCGGCGCCTCAACTGCACGCCTGGGTGAGCGAAGGACTCCAGATTCACGTTCAACGGACGGAAGCACAACGTCATCTCCCGACGGTCTGCGGGTGGGCACAGCTCTGTCCACCTGAGTCCAGTCAACTGAACTGAGCCTTGAGGGGGCAGATACATATCCATCGTGATCCCGCGGAGTTGCCATGCTGGGCATAATATCGTGGCGCGTCGTCAATGAACGGGGTTCGTGATCCTCAATCGGTTGAAGCTGCAAACGTTAGCGACGTACACAAAAGGGTGCTTCTTGCAGCTATCTCTGCTATCATCCTGCAAACTCACGTTGTACAAACATCCGTCTTTATCGCGGAAGTACCGGGTAGGTGGAGCCGTTCGCACGACCCTTTCAGGCTCATATGTGGAGCGCCTAACACAATTAAGCTGAGTACTATTGTTTGTATAGTTAGCCAAGACGTACAATGCTGCGGTCGACCGACTTGTAGTCTCGTACGCCCCTCTATGGTCTGTTGCTGGGGCCTGTGCTGTAAGCATATGGGCGCCGTTCGGAGAGGGCGCATATGTGGTAGCAGGGCCACGGATGTTCGAGCTCGGCATCCTCTCATACCCTCGTGATATATCGGGATAGGTGTCCGGTCCAAGTTCACGACCTGTTGCCCGGCTAGATATTATCTCCACGCTGTCTTCTCGCTCGTTCGGGGTCAAAGAAGTGTCGTCGCTAAGGTCACTGTCTTCGTCGTCGTCATCATCAAGGACAATCACCTCGCGGAAGGTTTCTTCCAGTTCTCGATCATCGCCTTCTCCACGCCACTCCTTAAGTTTAGCGTAGGATATAGGTTGCGATTTTTGTCGAGCTTCAACCCAACTGACGCCGTTCTTCAAGTCCTTGTCATAGTTTGTGTACTGGTGACGGATGAAAGCGCCTACAGCGAGCTGCACTCTGCGCGCCAACGTGAGTTCCTTGGCGTTACCTACTCTGTTGGTGCCCTGTGAAGTTCAGTGGTGATTCATATGGTCTCATATGCTTGCATTTACCTCTTCAAAAGCATGATTGACAATTGACTCCAGATCTGCCTCTGGGATTTTCGGAAACACTTCGAGAATGGCGCTCCGGATTTGATCTTTAGTCTGCTTTTCCGTGGCTGGTTGGCCATGGAGAAACATGCGTTCCCCATGGTCATGAAGGCTCCGCGCCAATGCTGTGGTCTCATAATTCGTCCGCATCTTTCGAAACCCGCCTCTATGGCTCCATTCGTAGCCAAGAAACTGGCAGGCTTTGTCGACAACCTCATCTGGAAAGTGATGTCCAATGCGCTGAGTGTCTATGCGTAAGATATTCCGATCTCCATCGCGACGGTTTTGCCCCTTTGAATTGGGCTTTGGTCTGGCCTAATGGTGGCGTTAGGGATTGAAGAGGACGAAGAGCAGACCTCCCGCTTACCGAAACAATATGCGCTACGAAGTTTTGTTTTCTACATTGATCTTTGCAGTACTCCGTGAGCTCGCGATCCCCGAGTGGAACAAATGTATATCCAGGAGGTGCGTTCGCGCTGTATGCCATCTGTAACGTATCAGTCGGTACTCACGTTCGCTGACGAATGCGCCGCCTACAATGGAGTGGAATTTCTTCTTTTCTTGCGTCACCATCTCCAAGACAACTTTGTAAGGTTTCTTCTTGCGTGCTGCCCGAGGGCGATCAAGGTTGGACGAGCCATGGGCACTCTTGTGAGTTGGAATGACGCGCACCATGGCGCAGTCAATCCACTAACTTCCGCTTACAAAACGAGATGAACAACAGCAATATCAGGGGGACTGCGCTGGGGTTAAATAGGTTAGTAGTGGGAGCGGCTCTTTCCAGATGAGAGAGCAGCCAGGAAGGCCGACAATGTTGTTGATGGATATATGGGCCGCTTCGCCCGCTTTTCTGGCTACAGCGAGATGTGGAAAGAAACTGCGGGGATGGTTTCAAGGGTAATCTGGAGAGCAACCAGGGCCGGAACAGTTGGAGAGGTTGCGGAACTGCGACTGCCAAAACGCGCATGCAAGTATTCCCGGCAGATGTGCGCAATGAAAGCCTATCGAGGTCTCTTGCACGTTCTTACAGCACCAGCGTTCTGCCCGAACGTTGGGGAAGCTTGTAAGTGAAGGGTGAAGAAGGAGAAGAGGGAAGCGGAATGGGAGACGTTGGGTAGTCATGCAGCCAAGCCGGAGCGGATCATAGTTTTCTCCGAAAAAGCTCGTCAACCAATCATCACGATTCTCATACTTTCTCCGTTAGCCTCATCCAATCCTACCACAATGTCTCAACAAGCAGTCGTGCATGCGTATCGGCACCTTCTACGACAGTCGCTCCGAGCGATACAATTCTCGAAGCCAGCGCGATTCACGCTCCGCAATCGCCTCCGCTTAGCGTTCCGCAGAGGCGATGCCGCCGACTTCGACCAGCAGAAGATCAACAACACCCTAGAGTTTCTTCGATACGCGACGGTGGAGAATGGGCTGGAGCACAAGATCGTAAAGAATCTGCTATTCGTGTGGTGGCACGAAGCGGAGGGAATCCATAAGAAGATAGGAAAAAAGCCGGTGACCCTTCAGGAAGCGGAAATCAACATCACGGCTTACGATACTTTTAATCATCAAATCCGGATGCTGAACGAGAGCATGGGAATGTGCCTGCCGGCCATGATCATACGTGGCCGCACGTGAAAGCCCAGCAATACTCATTGCATTGCAATCCGATTACCAGTCGATCTGAACCCGATCATCGAACCAGGACCAAACGCCGTACCTCGCCTTGCCCTCCCCGCTGTGCATGAAGTCATAGAAGCATGGAGTAAATACCAGCCGAAGGCTGCTGTCTGGGAGAAGGAAGATCAAAAGAAGTCATCCAAAAAGTCTGCATCTCGGTCCTGGTTGCTTGCCTGTGCCATGTTCTCTTCCGTGAAGAGATCATCATAGGCGTGATCCCTCTGCCACGCCTTCTCCTTGCGTTCTTTGGCAATCCGGGCCTCCTCTTTTTGCTGGAAAAAGTCAGTGTGGGGAATGAGAGGGCAACATGAGAGGAAAAGGCGTATCAGGAGACGAAACGAAACTCAAGGGGATGGGACCTTGGCACTCACCCTAGCTTGCTGAGCCGCTCTATCCCTCTTCCTCAGCTCCTTGAGTCTATTCTCTTTCTCCATTGCGAGGTCAGGAAACTTCTCAACCTTGGTCTTGTTGAGACGGTTGACGATGGCATTCTCCCGCTGTGTGACGTGTATCCGTCTGACCTTAAGGGATAGTTAGCCGGCGGCGCACAGTATACATCTGCCCTTAGAATGGATTGTCAAGCAACACAAGAGAAGCCTTGAGCCGTACCTTTCTCTGATCTTTGAACCCCACCTGTCCCACCGCCATACTCCCATCCTTCTTCAAATTCGACCAGGGGGTGTACACAATTGTGATGTTATCCTTCTTATTACCTGATTCGCGTTAGCCCATCGGCGTACACAACCGACCTCAATCCCTAGACTATCACCGCCTCCATCTCCCTGCGCTCATCTTTCTTTGGCCCATAATCGAGTGCTTCCACTGAAACCGTCTGAATTAGTGAAATGAGATGGTAACGTACCCTCAATGCTGTTCGCCTTCGTCAGCTGCGCACAATCCATCAACAAATCCTGATCAATCATCTCCCAGTTCTTCCCCTCCGGTAACCGCAGATAGATGTGCGCAGACGACAGCTTGTCCACGTGGAACCACACGTCTTCCTCCAGGCCATATTTGATGAGCTCTTCATCTGCAGTAGAAGGGTATCGTCAGCAATGCTATTGTCGCCAATATAAGATGGAGAAACCGGAAAAAGTGAGGGATGCAATCATAAGTCTTGGGGGAAAGACTTGGCTGTAACGGAAAAGAGAGAGGGAGGACAAAGCCGGGGACATGATCCGCAGACCAAAAAAAGCAAGCCAGACACTGGAGGAAAAAAAATGAAACAAGGAATAAAACTAAAGAGACATCCCGCTGAAAGCTAAATCTTCCCCACTTCCCACCTCTTTCTCGCTGCAGATGCAGCGTCTTAAGAACGCCTCACGAGCAAAACGACAGGATACGTACTCTCAACCTTATCCTTCCCCATATAAATGAACCCCGGCGGAGTGATGACGTTCGAGGTGAAGTAGTACACCATTTCGACTGCCTATCTTCCTAGCAATGAGGTGAAGTAAAGTATAATACAGAAGGCGAGATTGTTGCTGCTAGAAGATGCACGTGGTTGGCCCCACTCCACTCGTCAAGAAATATGGCGGTGCAGCTTGGCAGTGCGTGGCTCATGCTTGTAGTATGAGAAGGGTTTCAATTCAGGACAAATCGCACGATAAGGCAGAGGAGCAACAAAGCAGTTTGAGCCAGTCAATATAGATAAGCTAAATCCACCCATGGTATCCTACAAAGCACAACCCCAAAACACCCAACTCAATGCACGTTGTATCCACAACCCTCTTCCATTCTCTCATCCTAACCCCTTGATGTTTAAGACTTCGACGACGAAAAGAAATGATGCTTCTTCTTTTTCTTCTCCTTCTCATGATCCTTCGTCAACTTTCCGCTCTGCGGATGGCTACCAGGTCCACTCTGGGCAAGCTGTGGCGCCGGCGCCCTCCCCGAATTCAGCGACATGGAGGCCATCGCTGCAGTGGGGGGACCCGCACCACCACCAGGCCGAGATGGGAGGCCCACACCACCTTTGGCAGACCCAGTTGGTGGGACCGGGTTCGGCGGTGCGGGTCTCTCGAAGAGATGTGCTGGAGCTTTAGGCGGTGGGGCGTCGACAGGAAGACGGAGATTTCTGCGACTGACGCTTAGATCTCCAAGTTGTCGTAGGTACAGACTAGGCGTGACCATATGGGATGTTACGAGGAAGACCTCTCGGGAGGTTTTCTGAGAGATTTCGTAGCAAGCGCGGGCTTCCGAGTATGTAGCGCCGCCAGCGACGAAGACGATGACGCGCTGTCGAGGTTCTACGCTGGATAGTCGAGATTTTGCCCAGGTCGGTTTGGCGGAGCGCAGAGAGGCTGCGGATACGTTGTCTTGGCCTGATGAACCTGCATCTTCGGCTTGCGGTTTGGTATATGGGAATGTGTCCTGCGGTAACGTGCCACGGACATGCTCTTCGAGCATTTCCAGTACGGCTGGAGTGAACCTTGATAACGCATATTCGTCCGCATTATCTTGGGGTGCAGTTTTGCGAGCAAATAATGGAGGCGGGGGATCCCGTTTTTCTTTTAGGCGTTTGGAGATGCGGCCGCCGAGAAGCTCCAGATTCCGCACTACTGCGCCGTCGCTCGTCGGCAGTTGGGAGTGAAGGAGGAGTTTTTCCAAATCGGAAGGGAGGACGCCGTCTTTGTAGAGGACGTAAAGCGCTATCAAGCGGAGGCGATCGGATGGAGTAATCGCCTCCTCGTCTAATGTTCGTATGACCTGGTCTGCCATGTTTTTGGCTTTCTTAAAGTCCTCATCGAGTCCAGTAGCGAGACACTACAAAAACTAGTCAGTCTCTGGCCGAAAAGTTATTCGTACATTGTACCGACCTGCTCAACGGAGGCCAGATCCGGAAGCTTGTTCCGTTGGAATATATTCATGCATTCCTGGGCCATAGTCAGATGCAGTGAGTACGCCTCCTTCATCTCCTGAAATTGTGGCAATCCTGCGATCATATCCTTGATGGCATTGAGTCCGTTCATGCCAGCGGCATTCTGGCTGTCCTGCTTCGTGAAATGCGGATTCTCCGCTATGAATCTTTGAAAGTCGCCCATCAGTTTGTCAATGGTATCTTTCATGTGTCGATGACGGTTCTCTACCCAGATACGGTCCTTCTCGCTGATCTCCATGTCTTTTTCCTCTGCTCCCGGCTCCCCTTCGTTGACGACCGTCCGATATGTCACTTTATCACCCTCTCTTATGCTCAGCAAATCATGTGCCATGGCCTGATAGGTAAACTCATGTAGAAAAGGCGCGAAGAGATCCATGGACCGATCCGTGATGTACAGTGCCCCACGCGGCCGGTTGGACTGGGGCGGGAACTCCCGGTTGTACTGGGCATACATGTCCAACTTTTCCTGAACGAAACGCGCCAGGTGCGAACACAAGACGCTGGCCTCGTGAATTGGATTCTTTGGTCTATAGTATCGTACAGTGGGATATTCGCCAAGCGCCACGCAGACTCCTGTGATCTGAAGGGGCGGTTAGTGTATGAGATTGAGAGGGAATCAGCAAAGGTGTACCTTCTCTGCAATGGCGTCCAAATGCTTCGCGACCAGATCGTTACAGTCGGGATGAAATAGAAGTGGAAAGCTGTACGGGTCTCTGAACGTTACTAGGTGCGACTCTCGCGGGTAGTAGTCAAGATGTAGCACTCTGAACATGCGTATCAGTTTCTGCGCCATTTGCGACCGTTCAAGACGCTCTTGGAGCGACCGAGAGGGTACTATGCACGAGAGTCAGCACCGCGAAGTCAACCACGTTCGGAAACTCCCTCACAGCTGGTCCACAGAAGAAACGCTCCCCTGTATTTCTGGCGCTCGAAATCTGCCATGATACAATCGACAATGTGCGGTCTTGGAGTGAGAAAGTATACAGCATCTGTGTCCTTCTGGTCCGGCCGGCGGTCCTCGATACGTTCAATGTCTGCGTAGTGGGTCAGGGCAACGTAGACTTGGTCTGAGGGCACAATGCGCACTTGTGATATTCTCGTTCAGAATGTCATCTTCCTTGACTGCATTGTCTATGAGCTTCCGGCTCTCCTCGTCTACTACCAGGACCTTCCACTGCGGGTTGTATTAGAAGGGCGGAACGGGAGGAATTGGGTGTCATACGTCACCACGCGTAGTGGACTTGATAGTGCTGAGAATGACTGGGGAACAATGTCAGCACTGACACACGGGCGGCACATGGAAAGGGAGATATACGGTCGCGCTGCAGTTCAATGATTGAGACGCCCATGACGGGCACCGAGGGAGGTAAGCCTGGACGCCCAGCGACCCGACAGCAAACAATAACCGCCTTCTTGGGGGTTGGGAAGTTGATTTGTTTTGCGGAGAGGGTCTGGCGAAGCTGTGAAGGAGCTCTTGGGCTCAAGGCTTGGTAGCAATAGCTAGGGAGTGGGGGGTGTCGAGGAGGGGTGTGGGGAGAGGCTGTTTTGGAGCACTAGGCGTCGGGCGGGACGTGCTCAACTTTGGGTTTGTCGCGTGGCGGCAAGGGGCCTTGTCGAGGGCGTGCAACTTTGTGCTTGTTCCAACGACCGCTCAACTTTTTTTTCCCAGAACTCCGTCGTCGCCTCCCTCCCTTCGCATTCCATAACCTCTGGGATAGACTCTTCGTCGTCAATGTCCCATTGAGGCGACCGGTTCCTGGCATGCCCACCTCCACGCTGCGGCGCTCCACGCTCTGTCCTCGATGCGCCTCTGCGGCGCTTCCGCGGCCTCCGCGCCTGCTTCCCCATGTTCAGAAAGCGTATCGGTCACTCCCGCAGTCTCCCGTAAAGGCAAAAAGATTGAATCTTGCATCATGCGGACACAAACACCCCCCAGAGAGAGAAGATGACAGAGCGCATCGGGGCCCGACAGACGTCAGGAGCTGGAAACCCACCTTGGGAAGAGGCGATGAGCGGGGATCCATCATCACGTTCAATCCCTTGACAAGTTCCGGTTGGCATAAGTCTGCGGTTTCCAAGGCCATGGCAAAGGTCCACCGAGAGATTGGCCGCCCCGAGTTCCTCGAGAGTCTCGAATTGACGCCTGAAGCCTTCGACAAGGAATGGGACAAGTTTCAAAAGTACATGGAAGCGTGGCTTACACGCGATACCCCCGAGGTGCGGTCGCTCCTTCACGAGCTACGATGGGGAACCAGGGTCCTAGAGAGGCGGTTGTATTACCTTTTCTACGCCCAAGTGTTTGGTGGGCAATTCACACGCGCCGAATTGGAAAACCAGAAAGAGGTGGCCGACCTGCGCTTCCCTTCCGAATGGTACCCGGCTACGAGAGCCATCAAGCGCAAAATCCATCTGCACGTTGGGCCCACGAATTCCGGAAAGACGTATCATGCCTTGAAGCGATTGGAGCAGGCAAAGACGGGCATCTATCTGGGGCCTCTGCGTCTACTTGCCCATGAGGTATACACGAGGATGACCGCAAAAGGGAGGCCATGTATGTTGGTAACTGGCGAGGAACAGCGGCCGCCAGAGAACGGGGAGGAGGCCGAGATGTGGAGTTGCACCGTGGAAATGGCACCATTGAATCGGCCCCTGGATGTCGCCGTCATTGACGAGATACAGATGATCAGCCATGTGGAGCGAGGGTGGGCGTGGACCCAGGCATTTCTTGGTCTACAAGCTAGCGAGATTCACCTCTGCGGAGAGGCGCGAACCGTTCCCCTCATCAAGTGGCTGTGCGGCTTGGTGGGTGAGGAGGTCGAGGTGCATGAGTATGAACGACTTACTCCACTGCGTTGCGCAGACCACAGCCTGAAAGGCAGTCTCGCCAAGAACCTTCAGAAAGGCGACTGTGTGGTGTCCTTCTCTGTGCTAGGCATACATGCCTTGCGAAAGACGATTGAGAAGACCACTGGGCGAAAATGCGCCATTGTATACGGCAGCCTGCCGCCGGAAACCAGGGCTCAACAGGCCCGGTTGTTCAACGACCCGAATAACGACTACGATTTCTTGGTTTCTAGCGATGCCATTGGAATGGGGTTGAATTTGTATGATTCAGTCTATGCTGTCGGGTTTTGCTCATGCTAATATGGAGTTAGGAGTATCAAACGTGTGATCTTTGAGTCCACGATGAAGAACAACGGCAACCGACTTGTACCTTTGACGGTCTCCGAGATCAAGCAGATTGCCGGTCGAGCGGGACGCTACAAGACGGCCCATGACGCTGTCGCTGACGGCGAGCAGTCATGTGCGGCTTCGAGCGCTGCCGCAGATTCCAGCGGCGAGCTGGTGGCCGTGGAGAGCAACCAGAACAGCCGACGCTTCCGACCCGCAAGTGGGACTGTTGGCTATGCTACCACGCTCGAAGCTTATGATTTCCGGTACCTGCACCGCTGCATGAACAAGGAGCCCGAACCCATCGAGACTGCAGGAATTTTCCCACCTACCATTGTGATCGAGAGATTCTCGAGTTATTTCCCTCCAGGCACTCCGTTCAGCTACATTCTACTCCGACTGCACGAGATCTGCAAATTGCATCCCCGGTTCCACCTGTGCTCGCTGAAGGACCAGATCAAGATTGCGGACGCCATCCACCCCGTCCAGAACCTCACAGTCCCAGACCGTGTGGTTTTGTGTGCGGCTCCGGCGAGTCTGAAGGATAAGTTGGAAGAGAATTTGGTTCTTGCTATGGCCCGATGCATTGCGGACGGCGAGTCCGGGGATCTGTTGGATCTGCCTCTGCCGCTGGAAGTCCTGGACCAGCCACCTGCGCCTGGTCGGCAGTATTTGTATGAGCTGGAGCGGCTGCACAAGATGATTGTGCTGTACCTCTGGCTGAGTTACCGGTTTCCCCATATCTTCCAAACAAGGGCCTTGGCCAATCATACGAAGCAGCTGGTAGAAGACGCAATAGAAAAGGCCTTGAGTGAATTCTCCTTTACGGATTGGAAGTTCAAGAAGCTGCAGCGGAAGAGGCAGAAGGCGATGGAGGAGATGGAAAGGCTGGCAAGAGAGGGTCGTGGAGGGACTGATGAGGAATTGCCCCCATTCCCTGTCGACGCGGATTTGGAGGGGGAGCTGCCACAGACGATGGTAGACCTTCTCAAGGACAGAGCAGCGTTCGAGTCGGGCCCGGCCACGGACGATGTGGATGAATACCCAACGCCAGAGATTGAGGAGGACGGTTCAGAAGATGAGACCACAGCGAGGGTAGAAGTGGCCAACAGTAACGATGAACCATCGAAGGCCTCGGAAGCCCACGGCGACCCGGCAGACGTGGATGGGGAACCACACGAAGGACCCAAGCCAGATCCAACCAAGACATTTAAGGGAGCATCACGGCCGCAGGACGTTAGTCGTGAACTCCACATTTAGGGATCTCATTGTACATGCTGTATCGCACCCGGCCGGGATATCGTGCTGTTGCATGTGGGAGCGGCGTTCGGAGCAACTGTGCATGTCTGGCGCATCTATAGAGCGCTGGCAAAACATCTAGAATACTGTATTACTACTGTAGAGCGGGACAATGTACTATAGGCATCATCTGCAGGAGAGACGAAATACTCTCTTCACTTACGGCATATTTTGGTTGAGCTGGGAGCTAATCCGGAATGCATTTGGGGAGATGGTGTTCTGCGTACGGAGTATTCTTGTGCGTGTTCGAATTGAAGTCCAGCTTAATAAGCCTGCCTCTGATCGCTGACTCAGCATCCAGGGCCATCATTCACGCGCACGGAATGGGCTTGGCGGGCGAATCGGGCCAACTGGCAGCACCGACCAAACAAGCTTTTCTGCGATCGGGGACCTTTTCCCGTTTAATCTAGATCGGAATCGTTGTCCGCATCGTCCGGGATCATTGCCCGCATCTCATTTCCACTCCGTTTCTCCGCCATCCTAACCCCACTCGGACGATTCAACGTTGTTGGCCATGATCCTTCATCAGCGCTGGCGCGAGCAATGTCGAACGAGCAGGAATAGCTCTCTCGCACTTTCTCCCAACCGTCTCGGAAGGAGGCACAAGTCCCAGCAGTATGCCCAATGCCCTCTTCACCATGCCATATCTGTAGCCCGCCGCTCTGATTGCGCCCCATAGCGAATACCCCATCTATCCAACATCCTCCTACGCTTTACAATCGGCCTACGCTCGCGCCGCTGCGACGGCATGAGTTGGTTCTTCCGGGGTGTTCAATCCGCCATCTTCCACTATCTTTCCTGTGTACCTTGCGGAGAACTAGCCCGACAGCATGCTCGGCGGAACAAGCGGAAGAGGGCGAGGAAGGTCTATGAGGAGCACAGCAAAGTGACCTCTGCTGAACAAGTCTATGAGCACCCTCCTCCCACGGGCATCAACCCCTACTGGGCGGAGGAAATCGCCCTGGGTCCGGGACCTCCACCACGACGCAAAAAGCGATCCAATACAACCAACAGCAGTCAGAGAGACCCTCGTAGTGCTCTGGTCAGCCAAGCCGGCAGCAGTATTGATGCTCAGTCTGGAAGCAGTCTCGACGTCCGCCGAATGCCGCGAGATCGACAGTTCAGCGACGACAAGCTCGGCGACGAGAATTGGAACCGCAGGCGTTATCAACGGGAAGATGAAGACCTCTGGGGAACCGCAAAGCCTCCCAGTCCCTCCAAGTCAGGAATTCCACGAGGATCTTCAGTTGGGCTCGGCGGCTCCACCAGGCCAGACACTTCCAAGTCATCATCGACTCAATACGGTCCTGAGCCAACACCGAAGCAACACGAAGTCCTTTGCCCTGTTGTCGACCTACCTTATCTACAGTCACTTCAGTCTTCAGATACGCACTGGATGCTGCAACCACCGCCCAAAGCGAGCATCATGAGTGGGAAAGAACGCCCTAACCGCAGTACCAGTCGCACTGGAAGCGCGGGCAGCAGTCGAGTAGCGCTGGGTCCGCAACGGGCAGCCAGCGAGCGACATTTGCGACGGAAACGCGAACGCGGAGAAACTGCGGCGTCGTCTCCCACATCGCAACCTTCTTACAACGGCCCTGCACTGCAATCATTTGAGGAGCTATCCACTGCCCCGCAGAATAGCCAGATGTCGGCAGGTAACCTTCGGAGGAAACGACGGGATACTGCAGTGGATCATGGAAGTAATACCGAGGGCTCGTCCACGAGGTCAGCGGACACCGTTGCCCGTGATCCGCGAACACCGAGAATGGTAGAGCGGAATGGCAGGCGCTCCACTTCGATTCCTGTACGAGATGATTACGGCTTAGTACCGCATCTAGACTCTCCCATCAGTACATCACCGGCTCAGTGCCCTGCCACGACGTCTCCAGTGCCTAGCAGCAAGGATGTTCGCTTCCGAGGGAGCCTGCAACGGCTCTCGACCATCATCTCGAGCGAATCCGACAACCCCGAAGCCAAGCAAGGCACCCAACGCAGACGCTCTTCCGCCCAGACCTCCGAAAACATACCGACGACCAACCGTGAACCAGTTTCGCCGACGCAGTCCTCCGATGAATTTCCTTATCTAAGGAAACGCGGCGCGGCGCCCAGCTCATCCGATCTCTCCTCGTTAAAGGTGTTGCAGGAACTCGTCCCCGTAAGATTGATACTCGGTTCACGCTTCGTGTCGTCGCCTCTCCCCGAAGCCCGTATTCGACTGCCACCAGAGGATGGCGAGGAAGCGAGAGCTCTGAATGAGGTGGAGATATGGGATGGTGCTGGGTTTGGGATGAGCCGTTCAGGGCGATGCAATGCTGTGGGGGATCCGGATGACTACCCGGAAAACGCTGTTCGGGGAGACGATACGAAATCAAGCGCGCGGTTCAGGTGGAGTGTCGACTTTTGAACAAGGGCCATGGGCGTTTCGGGGATTGTGTGGGGATCGGATTCCGCTTGCTATCGTTGATGGAAAAGGGACCCTCACGACATCTATGTTGCCCGTGTTTTGCGAAGTTTGGATTTCGCCTCATCAGGAGGAACTACCTCTGTCCATGCGCCGGACATACGACGTTTCTCCTTTTCGAATTTGGGAAAATAATACTGACTGGGGGGACATTCTGCCAATTCCTCATGCGCCCCTTTCATCCCATCACCGTCTTGAATACCTTCTCATACGCGCGTTGCATATTTTGGAAGGCGTCTTATCTTTCCTTTTCCGCCGCTTGCGTACCTGTGCATGGCATAACCTGGGGATATCTTGCATACTTCTTTCCTTCCCCCTCTCTTCTCCTCGCTTCTTCGCTTCTCCGCGTCTCCTCTGTCCTTTCTGCGTGGCATGCATGCATGCATCGATACGGACACGCATACATGAAAGAAAGCATTTGCTCAAGGCCTCGTCATACAGCAGGGCAGTTTGATGATTGCTCTTCTTCTTCCAAAAGCGGCGTTTTCATACTCGCATGGTGGGTGGGGATGAAGGGGATGATTGATGGATTCGTGTGCATGTTGATTATGGTATTGTTCCGCTAGTATAATATATATGGGTCTTGGATTCTGATTTCTGGATGCTGGTTGGATTGTAGAATTAGGTTAGACGGAAGTAGGCGTATGCGTATGCGGTGTTGGGCATTTTGGTCGTTGGTGAATAGAATACAGGGACGGGGAGCGGAAAGCGAATATACGTCTTTCAACTGTGTTATTCATGTATTATGCTCGTTGACTGCAGTACGTTGCTGCGACGATGCCCTGGATCTCCTGTTTTCCGCCGTTCCGCTCAAGATGGAGGGGATGTGTAGAATACATCCTCCTGCGTGCGCGAACCACATCGCTCGTAAACAAGACGGCGCCAATCCCAATCCACCGTCTCCAGAAACCATGATGTACTCAAAGCACATGTAGTCTACACGAAACGAAGATATGTTACCCAGCTCCTCTCTGCCCTCTCTTCCTTCCCTCCTTCTTCCCTCCCTTCTCCCCTATCCCCTCACAAGCCCCCCTAATAATAACCCCCCTGCTCCGCATGCACATGCGCCTGCGCCGTTCCCCCGGACGCAACCGCAGCCGCAGCCGCACCGGGATTCTGTGTCGCAAAGTGGGGCACGGGATTATTGGGCGCGACGTAGTGCGGCTGGTAAGGGTGCTGGGGCATGGTGAAGTCTGCCGAGGAGAGGAGGGGGTTGAGGATGCCTTGGGGAGGGCGGCGGGGTTGGGGTTGGTGGGGTGGGTGGTGCTGGTGGTGCTGCTGATGCTGGTGCTGCTGATGCTGGTGCTGCTGATGCTGGTGTTGGGCGTGGTTTGTGTGATGTTGTTGGGTGGGGTTTGGATGGTGTTGAGTTGGACTTTGGTGGTGGGAGGGGGAGGGTGTTGGCAGGAGGGGTTGGGTTTGGGGTTGATGTTGATGCTGTTGATGAAGTTGTTGGTGATGCTGGGGATGCTGGGGAGGAGGTGGTTGTGGTGATTGATGTTGCTGTTGCGCTGGAGAGTAATGTTGCCGTGGATAGGGGAGGGTGTCGTTGTTGTGTATGTGGCCAGAGACAGTGCGGGAGTGGTGTGGTTGTTGATGTTGTTGCGGTTGTTGTTGGTGTTGGGCCTGCTGCTGGTGGTGTAGAGGTTGCTGCTGCGACGGATTGTTCCACCCCCATTTCTCCTTCAGCTCCTCATTGAGGAAGCCCACGCGCCATCCCGTCTCTTGCCGGATCTTGTCGAAGATCTGCAGCACTTCTTCCTGCTCGCGGCGATTGTCCAGACACTCGGCGGCGATGGCGAGGGATCGCAGGGCTACGCTGGCGACGCCGCTGTGACGGAAGTGAGTATGGACGCTGCCACTGTGTTAATTGAGCTCACTTACCGATCCTTGACATGCGCCGCGATCCCACAGATGAACCTGGAGTGCTGCTGCTGCAACTCATGCATTTCGGGATCGCTTGGGCTTTGGAGGGGATTGAGTTGCGCAAGGAGACACATGGCCGTGTGGTAGAAGAGCCTCGCCACGATAGCAGTCCGCTTGATGAGCCACACCTCGGGGAATGCGGAGCCTGAGAGCGTCTCACCGGGATAAAGATATGCCATGGGATGCATCGTCCGCGGGACACGTTCGTTCCACGAATCGGCCAGGTCTTTCAAGTGCTTCCACTCGTTGCATCTTTCAGGGGCACGCATCTGCTCGCTGTTCCGGGGCACCGTGGCACGGAAATTCGCTATCTTGGCTACGATATAGACGATCCGGTATGTCCATATCTCCTCATGGCCGGGCTCGGTCTCGCGTGAAAAGTCCATGTCCACCCCCCATTCATCGGGATGCCATGCGACCTGCCAGTTGAAGTGCAGACAGCTGAGAAGTTCCATGCCGACGTTGAGCCAGAAGCAAGCCGCTCCGATGCCCGTGGATCTGGCGTTCCAGCCGCATTCTTTGATCAAGGCACGGGCGCCTGCAATATGGTTCATCCGTTGCAGTGCCCTTTCGCACATGATCTCGTAGACATTGAGGATGACGGCGGTGGTGGCACATATTACCGAATTGCGGTTTGGGTCCTGCAGAGAGCTCAGTAGATAGGTGGTGGCCGTGTCGTAGTAGTGCAAAGCCTTGTCCTCGTTGTACTTTGGGTTCACCAGCGCAAGATGCCGCGCACCGCAGGCCAGGAAAGCATTCAGGAGCATGGGCTCCCTCAGCGCGTGGAAGGGAAGAAGACGCGAGAACTAGACCGTTTGTCAGCACTTCCAACCGAGACGGGGCAGGTATAAGCGACGACATCCATACATGTTTCATAGGATCCATACTGTCCATCCACAACCCCACCTCTTCCACAAACACTTGCATGAATAGCACCTCCTCCTGCGTGTCGAGAAAGTCTCTTGCGTCGCTCCGGGCCGGGGGCTGCTCCCCGCTGTAAGATGAGGCGCCGGCCGTGTATGGAGATTCACTGTGGGAATGGCTGTGGTGGTGCGAGGGCGTGCGGTGCGATTGGCGCTCGTACGCTAAGTCATGAGCGGCTTCCTGATATGCGTGTGGGAGAATACCTTGGATGGGAGGTAGGTTGGGGTGTGGTGTAGACTGGGGAGGGCCCATGCTGTTGGGCATCTGTGCGAGCAACCCGTTGCGATCCACAGGCGCATTGTTATCTTCCACACGACCGTACTTTGCTAGGCCACCTTCATATTCGCTTGCGATGTCCCTCGAGTCATCGACAAAGGCGATCTGATATTCAGGCCCGGGAGCCGCCATGATGGAAGGCTGCGTGCATTGGATGTCGATGAAGTTCAACCGCAGCCCAGTCTTGCAAGTCCGGTTCGACTTGCGGCAGTTTTGGCATATTGGCTTTCCCTCATCGCACTTGAGATGACGCTCTCTGCATGTCAGGCAGCCCGTCCGAACTCTCTTCGGCTTGTTATCCTGGGCTGCCCTGTTTGTTGAGCCGGGAGTGTCAACGGTTCCTTCGCTGCTGTCCATCGCCCTCTCTTGCGTCGCGAATTGCTTCTCTGATCCGTGTCCCGTATGTATGCTAGCTCTTCCAGACGAATTGCGTCTTTTTGCAAGGGGCTCCCCCGATGGCGAGTGGACGTTCCTCCGCTTCGTTGACCTGGATGCGACCGGATCGCGTCGCGCGGTCACGTCGGATGCTGTGACGGGCGAATTCGCGCTGCTGACGTCCTGACCATATGGATAATCGCGATGGTAACTATACGGCGGCGGTCCGCGCTGCTCAATGGGCGACGCCAGTTTCTCTTCGGGTCGGGTACGAGATTCTGCTCGTTCAAACTCGATGCGCTCGCGCGAGTCGGGCTTTGCGATTGGTGCGCAAAAAAGGTTCGATAGGCTCCTCGTAGGATTCAGATGGGTTGCGGAGAGAATGGTGAGGGACGAGCTGGTCGGTGTGGAGGAGGCTGCAGGGAGAGCGCGGAGAGGCTTGAAGTAGCGGAGGTTACAAAGCGCGGGTCGCAAGAGGGGCGGCTGACAACTCCCAAGTAGGGCGACTTCTTAGGGCTGTAACGGTAGTATAGACAAAACGGTGCTCGAGATCTTGTCTTCTGCACGCGGCGATGTTGGCTATGAGCTCAACGGGCGTGGGTTGTTTTGGGGCGTTGACCTGGAGGAGGGGCAAGGATGGATGCACGAAATCTAAGGCAAGGCAATGCGGCTAACTTTCATCTGATCTCTGGATCCTTCGGCAAGCCAGCTCTTCAGTGAGGTCAATGGCCGTGACGGTGCGATGAAGGCGATTAAAAGCAAAGGACAGCAGCTTTTTCTACAATCTTGGAAGGCGAGCTGCTTTGCTTTCTCTTCCAATTGCTTTTGTCGTGCAGCGCACAGCCTCCCCGGGTCTTGCACGATCTATGTCGACAGAGCCAAAGCCTTGTGCGCCGTAACCATCGACGCAGCCCCGGGTTGCCAACTTGCCAGCAGATGGGATAGGATAGTCTCCCCGGTTACGAGACGACCCGGTCGCCCAAGGAATAATCGATGTCCGGCTTGCGGCTGATCGATCGATCTCTGTCCCCAAAATAGACGACACCTCTCTGCACCACTACCGGACAACCGTCTTGCTGTCGCGAACCCATATGAACTGGGCCCGTTCCTGACCCAGAGCAGAGGGTCGGCTTCACAGAGTCCGGACATGTTCACGATATGTCTAGGGGAATGCCCGGGTTGGCATCCAGAGAGTTGAGTCGGCAGCCTCGCTAGGTGTGGTTCATCTGCCACCCTATTCATAGCTGCGGCACCACCCCAACTACGCCATACCACCAGCTCAACGGTTATCGTCTTACGGACACTCGCCCCAGCCAAACTGACTGCGCCGTGGCCCCCACATTTGATTGACCTCGTTCTCCGCCAGCTCTACTATAGTACGTCTGCATCTCATTTGTATGCAATACTGTGGTCAGCGCCGGTGCCAAAATGGCGGCGACCACCACCCAGTCGTCTTCACGCCCGCCTGCCCAGCCCAGCTACATATTCCGCGGTCATTCTGCGGCCATCCACAGCGTCCAGATAATTCGCCAGAACCGCCGCTTGCTGACCGGGGATGCTGATGGCTGGGTCGTGTCCTGGAATTTGGAATCCAAACGACCTGTGGCTGTGTGGAGAGCCCATGAGGCTACCATCCTGGGAGCCGAAGAGTGGTCGACAGACAAAATCATAACGTGAGTAGAGATTCAGTAGAGTGAGTTCATCGAGGCGTATACTGTCATCCATTCTGTAATTTTCGTGTTCCGCCTTGCCGCTCTTCTTCTCCGTTCTGTTTCCCTTTGCCCATACTCCTATCAATACCCCTTTCAACGCGATTACATCCTTTGCTATAAATCCCCAGATTTCGGTCTCCGCCGCTCCCTATTCCCGCATCCGTCTTGACCCCAGCTTCCCAGTACACTTGTCCGCTAACCTTCCTGCCTAGTCATGGCCGGGATAGCGCCCTGAGGATATGGCAGCTAGGAGATGGCGACGAAGCACACCTTTCCAAAGTCCTGCCTGCCGATGGATCAGGCATACATCGTCCGAAGCCATGGTTGTTGCACACTCTTCCGGTCAATACCTTGAACTTCTGCGCCTTCTCCATGTGCCGTGAGCACCGTGACTCTACCCAGCAGCAGACTGCTTCGCATGCTGGGGTCGCTGATTCTATCCTGGTAGCTGTACCAGCGAGAGACGACAAGAAGATTGAAGTCTACCGCTTCCCTGAGGAGAAGCTGGTGTATGTGGTGCCTCAGGTTCAGCCCACCGACACTGGTAAGTCTTCCCATTTGAGTCCCAATTCCAGATGGTATCGGCTTTGTGTACTCTGTCATGCGCTTCCCTATTGTCTCCCAACTTTCAGAGAAGCCATCAAACGGTACTCTAACGAAATGCAGGCATGACCATGGCAGTAAAGCTTACCTACCATCGGCCTTCAAACAAGCTCCTGTTGATCGCCGGATACGAGGGCGGCTTCACCGCAGTCCATCTCCTTGGCACCAGTTCCCAATATAGCTCCGAGGCAACAACGGATCCAGCGCTGCAGCTTGCGCAGACCATCTACCTTAGCCAGCCGCATACTCAACCTATCCTCTCGCTAGATGCCCTACCGGATGCCAAGGTTTACTTCACGTCTTCTGCTGATGCAGTCATCGCTGCTCACCGGATCCCCGAGCTGCCCGTTGATATCGGGTATGCGTCTGCGTCTTCAGGAGAGGGGATATCAGAATTAGAGTCGTCATCAATTGGCCCATCCAGACCGGAGCACGTATCTGCAGGTCCTGCTGCGGAGGACAATCCACGAATATCAACCACCAAGGATGAGGACTCGCAGTCCCTTTTCCAAGCAGAATCTCTTTCAGGCCTGCAAGCCGAACGTACCCATACCATTGACACTCCGGAGGTAGACACACCACCCGTCGGAAAATCGGACCAGATCAGGAATGAAGACCAATCCACTTCGACAACATCCCCTTCAGGACCTTTAACCTTCAAAAAAATCCCCGTCGCCTCCACCACTACCACAACCCTCAGTCCCTTTTCCAAAAAGCCCCTCTCCCCACCCCCTTCCTCCTCAACAGCCTCCAAACCTTCCGGCCTCTCATCTCTCCTTGCAAAAGCCGCACCACAGCCCAACGTCAATCCCAAACCACCACCTCCCCAACAGCTCACCATCCAACCGCCCTTCCAAACAACCCAAACCAAACATTCCGGCCAGCAATCCCTGCGCGTCCGCTCCGACGGCCGCCTTCTCGTCACCGGCGGCTGGGACAGCAGAATCAGGATATACAGCACAAAGACTCTAAAGGAGGTGGCCGTGTTGAAGTGGCACAATGATGGCGTGTATGCTGCTGGCTTCTCGGAAATATTGGACAGTGGCGGAGATGTTGCTCAGCCCGGTGGCGATGTTTCGAGAGCGACCTCGGGAGAAACTGCCAAGGCTGCGGAGAACGCAGTGCTCAGAGGCACGGATGAGAGACTGTCGGGCCTGAGTAGGTTGCAAAAACAGAGAGAGGTGCGGATTCAAAACAAGCATTGGGTGGTGGCTGGGGCTAGGGATGGGAAGGTGAGTCTTTGGGAGGTGTTTTGAGGTTTAGCTTCGGAGGCTTGCGCGCTTCCTGCCTCCCACCTGTCTTATCGAAAATATCTACTTGTACATAGTTCTGTACAATACCTAGGTAGAGTATATACGAGTGGAGTGAACCGTTCTCAATAATGGTCACGTGACTGACTCATTGTTCAATTGGTCCAACCTGAAAAGAACACTCTTCTAAAAGAACTCATCGACAGGGTAAAAATTAGCTACTTCTAAGAAGTATTTATTGTTTCGAACACGACGCGAAGCATTTCGCAAACCCCCTTCCAGATTCCTGGATAGCCTCGGTCGTTCCTGCAAGCCAGAGCTCGACCAGGGTCTCTCAAAGCTCGGATGGGGTTTACCACCCTCACAATTGCCTTCTACATTCCTGCGACCTTGTTTCTGTCCTGATTTCTCCATTTTTCTCCGGCTTCTCAACTGCTATAGCTGTCATTGAGCTTAATATAATTGCTAATTGTTACCCCACCTCTTCGACAAGGACTCAACCTCGAGCATGCCTCTCACGACCACCATATAACTCATAACGTCACCGACACCCTCGACACCTACTCCACCTCCCCCATACCACACCCAACCACCACCCGCCATGCTCCCCTCATCCTCCTCCTCAAAGAAGCGCCCGCCCTCCCCGCAACCCCCGGACCTCAGCATCACCGCCTCCGATCAAGTCCACCTCCACACCGCCGGCTACAATGAACCGCTCTCCAAGCAAGGCCTCATATCCGGCATGGCGCGCTTCCGCTCCTCCCCGCTCGACTTCATCCGCGAGGTCTCGCTCCACGTGTCCGGCACCGGATGGCGCAGTTACGACTCCGTGGTCGGCCAACCCATCTTCTACCCGGGCTTCTCGGAGAAGATGAAGAGCCGCGTGTTAAGTAATACAAAACTTGTAGCGAAGGTGAAGGAGTTGGCGGGACGGAGGGTGGAGGTTGAGGTACAAGAGGGGCTGTTGCCGGGGGGTGAGGGGGAGGAGGCGAAGAGGGAGAGGGAGGTGAGGAGGAGCCGGATTGAGGAGAGTCTGATGGAGGTGGCGGAGGGGTTGACGGAGAATATGATTTGCAAGATGGAGAGTAAGAGGTTTATAAGGGGCGCGTATTATTTGGCGACGCAGTTGTTGACGAGGGCGTATCATCAGGGTGGGTCATTTCACTATGATACAAGGTGGAATTATGAGCTGAAGGAAGGGGAGGTGAGTATATCGATGAATTGAGTGCTGACACGGGTACTAGGCGTCCACGTCTCGAGCGAAGAAGTTCTTCGCCTGCGAAAAGTAGCAGAGGAAGCGGCCAAGAAGAAACAGTCCATCATCTTCCTCCCCTGCCATAAATCCCACGTCGACTATGTCAGTCTCCAGATAATATGCTACCGACTCGGCCTTGCGCTTCCCACTGTAGTCGCAGGGGACAACCTCAACTTCCCTATCGTGGGCTCGTTCCTTCAACATGCGGGTGCTATGTGGATACGGCGGAGTTTCGGAGGCGACCAATTATACACGACGACAGTCCAGGCGTACATCGATACCTTGTTGGCGAATGGGTACAATCTGGAGTGCTTCGTGGAGGGCGGACGGAGTCGAACGGGCAAGCTGCTTCCTCCCAAGTTTGGCATCTTGTCCTACATCGTTGATAGCATTGCGTCGGGGCATGTCGAAGATGCGATCATCTGTCCGGTGTCGACCCAGTACGATAAAGTCATTGAGGTGGAGTATGGATCCCCAGACTGCTCTACTCTGCTTATCCAAGATTAACATTTCAACAGTTCCTATATCAGCGAACTCTTGGGCCATCCAAAGCCAAAAGAGAACCTCATGGATTTTCTTTCTGCATCCTCTGTCCTTTCCCTCAAACTCGGCCGGGTTGATGTCCGGTTCCACGAGCCGTGGAGTCTCCGTGAATTTATAACTGAACAGCGCCAACGCTTCAGCCAATTACCGAAGCCACTCTCACCGAAGGACGAGCGCGTTCGCATCCTGAGGACAATGGGATACAGGGTCCTTTCGGAAATCAACGAGGTTTCCGTCGTCATGCCTACTGCGCTAGTCGGCACGGTTCTCCTGACGCTCAGGGGCCGAGGCGTAGGAAAGAGCGAGTTGATCAGAAGAGTGGAGTGGCTCAGCGAGCGCGTACGAGCCCAAGGCGGACGTGTTGCCCATTTCGCCGGCCTACCCACCAGCGTCGTCGTCGAGAGGGCTCTGGAGGTGCTGGGTCCGGGGCTCGTTGGCCTCGTCCGTGGACTACCGGAAGATACATACTACGCCGTCGACCGATTCCAGCTCTCCTTCTACCGCAACATGACGATCCACCTCTTCATCCTCCAATCCCTCCTCTGCGCCGCCCTCTACACGACCGTCAAGCTGGGCGGCGGCCCGCACAACGAACGCATCTCCTACGCCGCTCTGCGCGACCAAACCGAATTCCTCTCGCAGCTCTTCCGCACCGAATTCATCTTCCCCACCGAAGGCCTGGAAACCAACATGGCCACCACCATCGCCGACCTGGAGCGCCAAAACGTCATCAGCGTCACACGAGACGAGCCGACGGGCAAAGTAACGTACATCGCGCTGAGCCAGGAAGAGCGCGAGACGGGCCGGGAAAACTACGATTTCTACTGCTTCCTCATCTGGCCCTTCATCGAGGCCGCATGGCTCGGCGCCATCTCCCTCGCCATGCTCACGCCTCCCCTCACCCATCCCGCCACCGCCGCCGCCGCTGTTGCTCCAGACGGCACCCGTCCGCACGCCTGGCTCGACCACAAGGCCTTCACGGAGCGCGCGCAGCTGCTGGGCAAAACGCTGTACCATCAGGGAGACCTGAGCTACTTTGAAGCCGTCAACAAGGAGACGTTGAAGAACTCGCTGTCCCGGTTCCAAGAGGAGGGCATCATCATCGTGACGGCGCCTCCCAAGGACGCAAAAGTCCCGGCCCGGATCCGCCTCGCGGACGAGTGGATACCGGCGCGGTGTCCAACGAGCGGGGAGTTGGTGACCGAGGGGTCCAAGTTGTGGGCGTTTGCGGAGAGGATTAGTGCGAGTAGGCGCGAGGGGAAGAATCGGAGGGATGGGCGGACGGTGAAGAGGAGGGTGTTGCGGTTGGCGGATTTGTGTGCGGGGGGTTTGTGGGAGGGTGGGCGGGTGGTGCTTGGGGGGGAGGGGGAGGGGGATGGGGATGGGGTCGGGGAATTGGCGGGGGGGAAGAAGAGGAGGAGGAAGAGTTTGGTTGCGGCGAGGTTGTAAGTAAGTGGATTTGGTTGCGGGATGGCTAACATGTGAAGAGCAACGTGGATGGGGATGGGGATGGGAGGGAGAGGGCCATCGTATACCATTTGTAACGCACGTCGGCGTTGCTGTTAGTCACGTTGTACTATTGCTTTTCTTCAGAGTGCTTGTTGTATATCAAGGGCGATATCAGAAACGGCTCTGCCTCACTGTCCATGGAGACTATTCTGAAAGCGATCAGCAATCGAATATATACCAAAGCAAAGAAGCGCAACGCTAAATAATGCAAATAATATATCGACATGCCCCGGCCCCAAATCCCAAGCAACCCAAACAAACCCGTGATTCGAACGGCCCAACCCTCTGAGAGACACCCGCTCAAGCCAGCCCAAAACAAACAAGCAAGCAAGCAAACAAGCAGAAGCCATCGTCCTGCACAAACGCCAACCACCTATCCCACCAAAACCTCAATAAAAACCCATCCTAGGCTCAATCAAACAAACACACAGAGCAGCACCACGCTACTCCAACCTACCCCAACCCCTTCCCCCTCAACAACCTCGACGGACTCCCCGTCCTACTCCTCCTCCCCACGCCCACAGCAATCTTCTCCCGACTCTCGGTCCGACTCATCAATCCCCCCCTCTCCATCGCATTCAGATTCACATTCGCAGCAGACGCAAACCCAAACGCACCACCACCACCACCACACGGCGGACTCAATCCCAACCCACCCCCCTGCGCAACCACATTCACCTTCGACCCATGAAGACTCGCGATCCCACCGCCATACATCCCATCAGAATACTGCTCCGCCGGCGCCGCACTCCCGGGTAACCCCGCTTTCATCTGCGGCGTCGCCCACCCGCTCGTCCTGCCCACGCGACTACTCCCTCTACTCCCCTCGCTATCGTCCGAATACGATTCCCCATCCGAGTACCGCTCGTCCCCCACATCGCCGAGTTCGAAATCCCGCACCGCGGTCCCATCTTCCAAGACGCGCTCGTACGACGGCGTGCGCGAACCCCGCGTTCGGAACAACGTACCCGGCAGCATTGCGAAGCGGCCGATGCCGCGTTTCCGCGCGTGGTGAGAGCCTGGTTTGCCGCTCCTCTGACGATGAAGATGATGATGGCGGTGCCGAGCTGAGCTTAGCAGACGCGAGAGTTTGTGCGCGGCCGAGGACCTGCGTTCGCGGCCGCAGAGGACGAAGCCGATGACGAAGACGAGGACGACGAAGATGAGGAACCCGGGGATGCGCCGCGAATTCTCCGCGAAGAGGGTATCGTGCCATTTCTCTTCCTCGCCGGCCTTTGTTGTATACGGTGTATACGCGCCGCCGGGATGCTGGAAGTCACTCGGGAGGCCTGGGCCAGGGACGTTGGAGCCGAATCCCACGGCGAGCGCTTCCTCGCCGCGTGGAGGAATCTCGCTCGAGGCGTACAGCACCATTTTGCCTAGTGTCCAGGAGACTTCGACGTCATCGATTTTATTGACGGCTTGGAACGGGTCGAGGAAGCCCTTTTCATGCGCGCCATCGAGGAGGTGCTTGGTACCGTTCGTGTTTCCCTTCGCTTCTTCGAGGCCGACGCGCGGGACGCCGATGCCGTCGTGCAGCATATTAATGAGCCAGGACGCTTTGAAGCATAACTCCTGGGCAGTCTGTTTATCGACCTTCTTGCCCCAGTGCTTCTTCGCGACGAGCGCTTCAATGTCGTCCCAGTCCTGGCTGCAGAAGTCTTGCACGCGTTGCTGGTACGTTTTGAAATCGTAGGCCTTGTCCTTGTGCGCCATTTCGAAGACTTCGTGCGTCGTGTGCCAGTACTCGGAGACGCCGACGAAGTGGTTGACGGCGAAGTCGATGGCGGGCACGTGTTGGCCGTTGACGAGACAGGGTTGGTCGGGACATTCCTTCTCCTTCTCGAGGAGCGGGTAGGTTTGGTGCATGCACTCTGTGAATTTTCCGGTCCCGATGAGGTAGGGCTGCTTGATTCTGGGTTCGTCGTCGTCCAGGGGTTTCCCGTCCGTGGTCACTTTCAAGCCGGAAGGTAAACATGGATCGGGCAATTCCTCGGCCGTGGGACTAGACTGTAGCAGAGCCTTGACATAGCGCTGCCGAGCCTGGTTGACTCCGAAACCAAGCCACGTCGTCACAAACACCTTGTATTCCATTGGCGTGCCTCCCACAGTCCGTAACCGTAACAGCGTCAGGTCGTTGGCGTGTTTCGCGGCTTCAGTCGCATTCGGGGCAAAAGCTATCTGCGCCGATGCGCCGCCCATGTCCAGAAAGCCATATGTGTGATGGCCCTTTCCATGGTCGTGCTCTTTCGGCTTGTCAAAGCCTCCCAGTAAATAGTTCGCTGCTATCCAGCCATAAAGCCCCTCAGTCTCCCCTGGTATGACTTGCACATGCAAATCGCAATCAGGTAGCTGGAACTTAGTCGCCTTTCGCGCAAAGTCGCACACTTCTTTCAAGACTGCTTTCCGTTTCGGTGGTTCCAGTATTCGCATGCCTGCGGTAGCGAGGAGGAAGAGAGGGGTATTCGGGACCTCCTCGCGAGGCACATGCTCGAGCGCATGGTTGAGGAGTTCGTCCAGGTGGTCCGGTCCAACTTCATGAGGACTATCACCGAAGGTCGAGATACCTGGGGGAGTCAATGCCTGCACTCTGCGCTGCAATGGTCTTCAATCGGTCGCATACCAGGATGGATTTTCTTCGTCCACTTCTTGTCCGTTTCGATCCGAGGTAATCTTTGTAGATCGGTTTCGTTCGCCTTACTGCGAGCGATGTCGCTCTTGAGCCATCGGTATATGTGGACACGAGTCCCCTTGAACATGTTAGCGATGCGCCGGTGATGAGGCAGGAGAGGTTCGTACAGAGGACCCGGCGTCCAGAATCACACCATAACGCCCTGGATCCAAACTATCAGCATACAAGTCGCGAAATCCAGTAAGTGATGATTGCGTACACTTCCCCATCGGAGATGGCACAGCGGGGAGTTCACAGATGGTTATTCATTCAGTAGCGAGCGATCGGGTAGTTCAACAAAAGGAGCAGGGCTCAAAGAAACGGCCTGAAGAAGGGAAAATAGCATGAAAATCGTAGCGAGCGACGAGAAGAAGAAGGTTGCGTGTCTACAAGAGCGGCGGCGCGATGATGTTCAAAGGCCGCGCAAGAACGGGTTGCGATTAGGGTGGCGCCGTTTTGGGCTTGGCTTGGTCCCAAAATAAAGTGGAACCCCCACGCCTCACCCCACCAATCAGTGGGGCACAGCCGCCTTGGTTGCAACCTCCTGCATTCATCTACTACACAGTATACAGAATAATGATAGCGGTGATATCTTGAACCTGTCACTCCAGCTCAGTCTTCCAGCAAAAACCGCAGGAATCCCTTTGCAACCGCGATTCCATCGTGAGGATTCTTGACCCTATCCATAGCCTCCTTGTACTGCACATCGTCGAAAATCCCCTGAGCATTTCTGTTCCTCAGGATCTCGCTCACAATCTCGTCGTTGAACTCTGGATGACCCTGGATAGTGATGAACTTGCCCTTGACATACATTCCTTGCACCAGGCAGCGAGGAGAGGCGCCCAACTTCTCCACTTCCTTGGGATACTCGAACACAATGTCTCGGTGCATTTGGTGGATGTTCTGCAGGACAGTTAGTGGAATTAGTACGAGACAGAGCACGAGGACTTACCAGAGTGTCTTGTCCGAATAACTCTTTGCCCTTTTCGGTCAATTGCACTGGTAGAACCGAAATCTCCCACCCATCATCACTTCGTCCGACCTTGACACCAGAAGCACGACCAATGATCTGGTGACCGAAGCAGACACCGATCATGCGAACGCGATCTTGCTGAAGTACCATCTTCACGAAATCCATCAGTTTCAAGATCCAAGGGTGGTCATCGAATGAGTTGTGTTCTGCCATTGTTAGCCTGGCTCATATTGCCTATGAAGATGATACAGACTTGAGCCGGTAAGGAGAACAGCATCTATGTTCTCCAAGTCGGGGTATTCCTGCTTGTTTACAACGTCGTAGATGCTGAATTCAAATGCATTTTTGGAGGAAATGTCTGGGTCCTCTAACGCATCTGCCGCTCGGGAAAGAAGAGCTTTGAACACGCCACCATAGCCGCCATACTTGGCTCGGGTTCCGTCCAGGGGAGTGTCGCACTCGAGAATGGCTATCCGCAGGGGTACCTTCATTTTCAGAGAGTACAATACGGGAATATAAGTAGGAAATACAGATGACGAGGTGTAAATGCTTGTAAATGCTTGTAAATGCTCCCCTCTCATCGCCTCGGCCAAACTGCTTTCTCTAACTTAAAATGGTTAGTCTCTCGGAAACGATTCCGAGCTTTGTCACTGCATGAACCTCTGAATTCTGCCATCCTTGACGTGCTTATGGACGTCACTTGCTCTACATTACATCAAATCTTGGATTTTGGCGACTGCTCCACAGTCGACCAGGCATGGTTGCGCCCAAGCCAAATAATGGCAGTCACCCATCTGAGCGCACCCCTTTACTTGCCTCCAACTCTGACCCCGACGACTCCCGACCGCGAGGTGAACATCATGGGCATGCATCTGTCTCTCCCGGCCGCGACTACGCGGATGACACCGCGATAGGAGAGCTTGGACAGGGAGCTCTTGACATTCCCACGTTTCCAGTGCTGGCCAAAAGAAGAAGCTATTCACATAGCCATTGGCTGGCCCCAGATGAGGACCCGAGTACAATTGAGGAGCGGCAGGAACCGACTCGGTTTCAGGAGAATGGTATTCTAGAAGGCATCACGAAGCCTAGGTTTAGGTTTGTATATGGTGGTATATTGCTTGGCTACTTTGTAGGTTCAACTTTTGGTAAATCAGCTCTGCGAATGGACACTGACGATTACAAGATTGCAATGTTTGATTCGACGCTGATGGCTTCGAGCCATCCAGTCATCACCTCCTATTTCCATGCATCCAATTCGGCGTCCTGGCTCTCTACAGCGTTTCTACTTACTTCGACGTCCTTTCAGCCCCTCTTTGGTAGAGTATCGGATACCATCGGCAGGCGTCCATTGTACCTCTCTGGCCTACTATTTCTCGGAGCAACGACTGCGTGGTGTGCCCTGGCGCAGAGTATCGGCAGCTTCATCGCAGCCAGAGCATTCTGTGGCCTTGGTGCTGCCGGTGTGTTAGCAATGGGTAATTCCTATCTCTCTCCTTAAACAGCCACGATACTTATGCTTCACAGGCAACATCATGACCAACGACCTCGTCGGCATCGAAGTCAGGGGCACTTACCAAGCCTACATCAACCTCTTCTACGGCGGAGGTTCTGCCGCCGGCGCCGCCTTCGGAGGCTTCCTCTGCGACACCATCGGCTGGCGCATGACGTTTGCCATCCAGATCCCCGTCATCCTCCTCCTCTTCGTGAACGGGCTCTTCACCACTCCTTCCACCTTGGGTCCCAACCTCGCAGCCCGCGCCGGCAAAGGCATCCGACACGCCATGAAAGGCTTCGACATCGCCGGCTCGATTCTGCTAGCTGGCTCCGTGGCGTTCTTGATCTTAGGCCTCAACCTCGGAGGCAACGTCTACCCCTGGAAGCACCCCCTAGTAATAACCTCCCTCGTCATCGCCGTCATCGCCTTCACCATCCTTCTCTACGTCGAATCCCGCGCCGCACGACCCGTCATGCCACTGGGGATGCTCCACAGCGCTCCCCGCGGCAACCTCGTCTTCCACAACTTCTTCGCCCAGCTAGGCTTCAACACCATCATCTTCAACGCCCCCTTGTACTTCCAAGCCGTCAAGCTCGAATCCCCTTCCGTCTCCGGGTTCCGTCTCGCGGGGCCCACCGTCGCCCTCACCATCTGCGGCGTCTCGGCCGGCTTCATCATGGCCGCCACGGGCCGCATGAAGTGGCTCATCGTCGTGGGCTCGCTCAGCACGCTGCTCGGCGCCATCTGCTTATCCCTCATGTGGGACTCGATACCTACCTGGCTGGCCACCATCTTCCTCGGTCCCGCGAGTATCGGCCAGGGATTGTCGTTTCCGGCGACGAGCCTGGCGGTGCTGGCGACGAGCAGCCAGGAGGACCAGGCGGTGATGACGAGTACGCTCACCCTGTGGCGGAGTCTTGGGGTCGTGATGGGCGTGAGCGCGAGCAGTGTTGTGCTGCAGAATGCGCTGGGGGTGTATCTGGAGAGGTTTGTCGAGGGGAGCGATAAAGCGGAGGTAAGTTTCAATTCTCATCGCTGTAAAATGAATGAATGTTGTTGTGGAAGGATGGGGCTAATGGGAGCAAAGGTTATATTGCGCGTACGCAAATCCGTCAAAGCTATTCATGACTTGAGACCCGTGCAGCAGGGACAAGGTATGGCGTCAACCAGTTTTCCTCCTCTTTTCCTTACTCTCTGTCTGTGATGCAGGCGCAACTAACTTCTACAGTAATCAATGCCTATGCCCGCAGCCTGAGATTAACCTTCATCTCCGCCATCTTTGTCTTCGTCATCGTAAACGTTCTAGTGTTCCCCATCAAGCTGCCGAATCTGAAGAAGCGGCCCGCTGAAGAGGAACAGCAGGGTGAGGACGAAGGAAGTCGACTTCTTGGGTCAGACGATCAGGGTTAGGGAACTGAGTAGCGGTGGGCGATGAAATGAGGGTGATATCGATCCAAGGAAGCCACTGCGCAGTATTAAGAATCCAAAGAAACTACTCCTTGCTGCTATGACGCCTCTACAGTTGCTCCAAGACAGTAATCATGAACCTCTGAAGCTCAAATAAATCCCTACTACCTCCACTCCCGTACTCCACTCCCAGTCCTTCTCACCCCTGACCGGTCCATTTCTACACTCCGCGCTTCGTCACGCTTGCGCGTCCCATATCTCGTTGCTCACTGCTGGGCCCCTCCTCATACGCGTACGCGGGCCTTCCTCGCGTAGTGCCTATTGCTTAGTGCCCAGGTGCGTATGTCTGGCGTCGTACTACCTAGGTATGTAGGTATCGAGGTGGGGTACCGATTAACAGAGTACAGCCCGCATCATCTCATCTCATCTCATCTCATCCCATCTCATCTCACCACGCACATCCACATCCGTATGCGCATCCGCATCCACGCGTACCCACTTCACTCCTCCGGCCCAATTCCAAATTCCAATTCGAAAAAGCGTATACTCGGCATTTTCCACGGAAGTGCATCTCGGGTTCTGTACACACTACTCCGTACAGTTCATGATCTCTAGCCTCGCAGAATTGGAATAATTCACATGCAGTGTATTTGCACAGCCCCCTTCGCCAAGTCGATTGTAGAGTAGATCCATCGGGATTCCCACGGGCAGCCTCGTCGGACCGAAGAGGAAGTTGCGATTGGAGGGTCGGGGAATGTGGGGAATGGGGGGATTTGGTGGTGGGGTTCTGCGATGGGCGTGGATATGCGGAGATGTTGAAGAATGTGCTTGGTTATACGCTGCTGCCCCGTGCTGAGATACAGCAATGTTTGATGGTTGGTCATGGTGATGGTGATGGCGGTGTAGAGGTTCCGGATTGGGAAAGATGGGTAACGTAAGTAAGTGTGGAGAAGTGCGATGGGTTTGCGAGGCGGGGTGCGTACGCCCGGGCGACATGTGCGGTATTAGCGTCTAGGCTGCGCCTGAGCATACAGCAGAGTTTGGGTATGTAGTGCTGTATAGTGCGCTGAGTACCTATCAGGACTCGTCGGACGCCATTCCGCAAGGCCGGCTGCAGCAAGAAGGTAAGGCGGATGGCATAGGAATGGGAATGGGAGGAATACACAGCCTTCCTGGGCGCAGGAGGGAGAGGCGAAAAAGGTGAAGACGAGAGTTTTAGCACCAGGATGATGGGATGGGAAACAAGGAAATGCGCTTGGCCGAAGTTTATGCTATTGAATCAACTGGTTGGTCACAGTACTAAGGCTGCTGTGAAATGACAGCGTTGTTTACACCTCTCCGCTTGCAATTGGCCCTTGGGCAGCCTGCCTTCTTGAGTACCATAGTATGTCAATGGAGGCAAAGGGTCCTACTACCTGTGCATTGTCGATTTAAATCTGTACATGTATATTTAGACTATTCGGTCTAATCGTGGAAACATGTACAGCCTGCAGATGTAGGTGGTGTTTCAAAGTGTACTGTGTATATTTGCTATGAACCCTCGGCTAGCTGTTTTTGGGGGTCTGTGCTGCGTTCGATAGGACAACGAGAAGGAAAGGACACGCGCCGTAGATCGGTTCGGCACACAGTTCCATACTGATACATCCATGGATGGGTTGGGGGCGGTTATGCAGGTACCAAAAGTAGGACTACGGGGTTGAAGACTCGAAGTAAGGATGTCGTCGTGGGGGCCGGTTACGAGCTGTTTAGGAAGGCGAGGCGGCAGAGGGCAGCCCTACCTAGGATACGCTATGGGATGGGAAGTGCGAGTGTGGGGATGGGATTTGTGTTTACGAGGATTGGGGTTTCGGGGAGCGAAAATAACTAACAGTATCCGTACGGTTGCCTCTGTTGACTGCTCCTCTTCTACAAGTAGTTGCATTCTGCCATGGGTAAATCTCCCATGGAGCTTGGGGACCGAAGCGTAAGAATAAATCCCCTAGGCAATTTGGTGGTTCGACAATAGGATAGATATTCTGCGGTTTTGCCATGTATGAAACAGGGCCTGGCACTGAGTGGTTGATGAATGGTATGGATAGTCGCCTGGTAAGGCGCATGCTCAGCGTCGGCTGCGGATGATTCGTCAATGATATCCCAGCATTCTACCTACGCAGGTAACTGGGAGTTATTATTGGTGCTGCGCCAGTTACATACTCCTGTGTAGTCGATACCCAGAGCTACAAGCTCTAGTAGAGATATGTTATTAGGAGGCGTGACTGAATTTTCCATATCTATTCCACCTCAAAAGGTCGGTGTTCTCGTCCGCGGGGATCTCGGGTTGACCCCCGCTCCTTCTCTCCAACGCACCTGTGACGTATTCCTTGGCTGCATACTGTACGAGAACCTCCAGGCCGTCGGGAGTTGCGTCGATGACGTGGACGAATCCGGCTAGAGGGAAAGGGAAACAGCCTTGAGGGTGCAGAGCAGGTCAATTGGAATGCTGGACTGTGGGATTTCTCATCTCTGCCACTTGGTGCTGTAGTCGGCAGCATCATCTGCACGTTTGCAGATCTCGGGAAGCTGGGAGGTGTGCTGGTTAAGCGGGATCCGAAGACTGCAGCCCGTACTCGTAAAGTAGTCGCACCTTCGTATACTATGATGCGATCTGTACGAGGTATTCTGTAGACCGAGGGGAGGTGCCGATGTCGGGAGACATGGCATTTCTCCACTGTGGTTGCACTCATGTGGCTGGACATTGGGTGTAGCTAGATATGGTGATGTATGGCGTACCAGTACTGATGGAGCGATATAACAACCAACACCAAGACGTCCGAACGAGTATTGCCGATATTCACAACTCATGGTGTTGTAGTCTTGGATTCCCTATGCCAAGCCGCCGCCGACGCAATGGCAATAATGCAAGGGTGAAGCATTCAGGGCCATGACAGATATCTACTGTGTACTGTGTACAAGTACTGTAGTGGCTAAACGACTTCACGTGCGATACTCGTCGCGCGCGGCTCGGCATCCTCATCTTGAATCACAAGTGCCACCAAAGGCAAGAAAACGGGCCGTCATGTCGGCGGCAAAGACAGCGAGTTCTCAGCAACCCCGACGAGATCTCAGTGGTTTCGGTGGTGGTACGCCTCGAGTGCGCTCCGGCTTGGCCTCATCTCGTTGGCCGCCCTGGGCGAAGGACGGGCGGGCCATTCTGTTGCCGGGCCGGCGAGATGCAAAGAAGCCAACAGGGTGAAGCAAAACGGCCAGCGGCCACGTTTGAGGTCATGGATGACGCGAAACCGAGGCGTCTCGAGGGTAAAAGCTGCGAAGTCCTGAAGCAGAAGCTCATGAGGGAGAGAGATGAGTACTGTATTGCTGCCGGCGAATAAATTGGCCTGCGATCAATTGGACGTCGTGCGCCAAGCATTCAAAGTCGGCTAGTACCCCAACGGCTTAGCGCCTTTTGAGTGCCAAGAAAGCGCCCAGAGCACTGCCTCGATGCTGATCCTCCTGGGACTGTCTGGCCCTCTCCCATTTTCGGGGAAAACAAGATCCCCCAGGGGACCTCACTTCTCATATTTGCTGTCGACCCTCGATTGCACCCTTTTGACGCCTCCAGATCTCGACTTCCACTCCCCCATCGCGATTGCGACCCATCTGGTTCGCATCCTTCGGCGGCTTTTCACTTTGGCGTCGCATTCGGCCGATCATGCCCAGCGGCCTGCACTGCCACTCCACGACCTCCGCGACACCGTCATACTGCGTAAATTGACTTCTCCCTTTTCCACGCGCCCGCGTGCCGGCCAATACTAGACTGTCTCCACGAGTCTCTGTCTCCGGCCCATCGACACGGCATAGGTGAGGTACCCGTGACGACTCAATTCCATGGGGGAAGAATGGAATAGAGCTGGCCTTCTTGCACCGCCTCCTTCACTCTGCTTGCCGTCCACGGCTGGCTCCTTCTCAACTCTTGCCGTTTGCGTTTGCTGACGACTGAGTTTGCTCTAGCCGCCTGGTTCTGTTGCCTCCCCCCGGTCCCCCTGGAAACAAATCCAAATTCCTAGCTCCATCGACAATCGACTCCGCCTCCTCACTCGCCCCCCCGCGGCCACTCTTTCGGTGCCCTTACAAGTATCATTCCGCATCCTAGCCCATGTCTGGTTACTGGTAGGACACCGGCGAGGCGCCTCATCAGCACGTCTCTCAACGCGCCTCCATCCCCAGGCACAGCCTCAACCCCCTTACGTAGACCGGTGCCGAACCGCCTCCAGGCTTCCCTATGGCCGATCCCAATAAAGACGACGGCACACGGGGTGCACCCTCTGATGCTCCTGCACGAAGGCAGCGCGCCCCCACCATCACAATCGACACATCTGCCGTCAATCAAAACACCCAGGATATGGGAGACTCGGTGCCCCTGAGGGACAATGAGTCTACACCTCAACAGCACCACCGCGACGACCACGCAGATGTATCACCACAGACAATCCAACCGCCGACGGAGCTACGGGCGACGGCATCCTTCGACAGCAAGGAGAGTCGGCCAACCTCCCCTCACAATGTCTCTTCACCAACCGCCCAAGTGGGCAACCCTCACAATTTCCTCTCGGTTCCGGGAGCACCACGATCAAGAGGCAACTCCCTCGACTCGACTCCGGAGAATGCCGAAAGCACATCTAGCGCCACCTACATGGCCTCTTCTCAAGGCGAGACCCTGCGAGGAGAAGCGAGCACTCACGACATCCTGAACGACAAGGACGCATTGAAGCCCGATCCTGGCACAGAGGAGGATTTCGAGAGGGAGAACAACAAATTTGCTTTTACACCCGGTCACCTAGGCAAGATGGTGAACCCGAAAAGCTTGGCCGCCTTCTACGCTCTGGGAGGCCTCGATGGCCTGGAAGCTGGTCTTCGCACCGACAGAAATGCCGGCTTGAGCGTTGATGAACAGCACCTGGACGGCACCATATCATTCGATGAGGCGACCACGCATAGACGATCCCACGGACCTTCCAAGTCGAACCCAGACATGGGCGTGAGCCACGCCGCCACCGAACCCATCCATCACGGGGACAATTCATTCTCAGATCGCAAGCGCATCTTCAGCGACAATCGCTTGCCGGTCCGAAAACCCAAGAGCATCTTCCAGCTCGCCTGGATAGCGTACAACGACAAGGTCCTTATCCTGCTTACCGCCGCCGCCATCATCTCGCTTGCGCTTGGTCTGTACCAGACGTTTGGCGCTCAACACGATCCCGAAGACGGTGCCAAGGTCGAGTGGGTGGAAGGAGTGGCCATCACCGTAGCCATCATCATTGTAGTCGTTGTTGGCGCTCTCAACGACTGGCAAAAGGAGCGCCAGTTTGTCAAGCTGAATCGGAAAAAGGAGGATCGCAGTGTCAAGGTCATACGGTCAGGCAAGACTCGCGAAATATCCGTCTATGATGTCTTGGTTGGCGACGTTGTCCACCTGGAGCCCGGAGACATGGTGCCTGTTGATGGCGTCCTCATCCAGGGCCACGGAGTCAAATGCGACGAATCCTCTGCTACTGGCGAATCGGATTTGATGAAGAAGATGCCTGCCGATGAGGCGTTCCGCGCCATTGAAAACCACCAGAACCTGAAAAAGGTGGATCCCTTCATCATGTCAGGCGCAAAGGTTTCCGAAGGCGTGGGGACATTCCTCGTTACCGCCACCGGTGTAAACTCGTTTTATGGGAAGACAATGATGTCTCTGCGCGAAGACAACGAAGTCACGCCTCTACAGTCCAAGCTGAATGTCCTTGCAGAGTACATTGCAAAGCTGGGTGGCGCTTCCGCCTTGCTCCTCTTCGTTGTGCTTTTCATTGAATTCTTGGTCGGTCTGAGGAATAGCGACGCGAGTGCAGCCGACAAGGGCCAGAAGTTCCTCGATATCCTCATCGTAGCCATCACCGTGGTGGTCGTTGCTGTTCCGGAAGGCCTGCCTCTGGCAGTGACGCTGGCGCTGGCTTTCGCTACCACTCGCATGTTGAAGGACAACAACCTGGTGCGATTGCTACGATCTTGCGAGACCATGGGGAATGCTACGACAATCTGTTCGGACAAGACAGGAACCCTCACGACGAACAAAATGACGGTCGTGGCTGGCACTCTAGGAACTGCTCTGCGCTTCGGAGACCGTAAACTCAATGAAAGGACGCCGGCCGAGCCTGTCGACGATGGTGCTAAGGGCAAACAACCAGACTCGCCAGTGGATAGTTATGACGATGTCTCCCCTTCTGAATTCGTCTCCACTCTTAGCAAGGACGTCAAGGAGGTGCTACGGAGGTCCATTGTTCTCAACACCACCGCCTTTGAGGGCGAGCAGGGCGGCCCCGACCCATTTATTGGCTCAAAGACCGAGACTGCGCTTCTCGGCTTTGCTCGGGACCATCTTGGTATGGGCTCACTTAGCACCGAGCGGTCCAACGCGAATATTGTCCAGATTGTGCCCTTCGATTCCTCGATCAAGTGCTCGGCTGTTGTAGAGAGGCTAGGTGACGGTCGATATAGGCTTTACGTGAAGGGAGCGTCTGAAATCCTCCTTCGGAAATGCGAACGTATCGTCTCCGATCCGACCAAGGAGCTGGCTGACATACCCCTCTCCAAGGACCATCGGGACACGCTCGAAACAGTCATCACCACCTATGCCTCTCGCTCTCTTCGAACCATTGGTCTCGTGTACCGTGATTTTGAGAGCTGGCCACCGAAGGAAGCCCGGAAGGCCGAGGATGACCCGTCACAAGCCGTCTTCGAAGACGTATTCAGGAACATGACATCCCTAGCCATTGTCGGCATCCAGGATCCCCTCCGTGAGGGTGTTCGGCAGGCCGTGAAGGATTGCCAAAATGCTGGAGTGTTTGTTCGCATGGTTACGGGCGATAACGTCATGACCGCCAAGGCTATCTCCGAAGATTGCGGTATTCTGGTTCCTGGGGGCCTTGTTTTGGAAGGACCTGCCTTCAGAAAACTGTCGAAGCGGGAAATGGATGCCGTCATTCCCAAGCTCTGCGTGCTCGCTCGTTCCAGTCCGGAGGACAAGCGCAGGCTCGTCAAACGCCTCAAGGAGCTTGGCGAGACTGTGGCCGTTACGGGAGACGGTACCAACGATGCGCCTGCCCTCAAAACCGCAGACGTAGGTTTCTCCATGGGCATCGCCGGAACAGAAGTTGCAAAGGAGGCGTCCGCCATCATTCTCATGGACGACAACTTCGCTTCCATCGTCAAGGCTCTCCTCTGGGGCCGAGCAGTCAACGATGCTGTCAAGAAGTTCCTCCAGTTCCAGATCACCGTCAACATCACCGCCGTCATCCTCACCTTTGTCACCGCAGTTAGCAGTGGCGACCAGTCGTCTGTGCTCAAGGCTGTGCAACTGCTCTGGGTGAACCTTATCATGGACACATTTGCTGCCTTGGCGCTTGCCACGGACCCTCCTACGAGGAGTTTACTGGACAGGAAACCGGAGCCCAAATCGGCACCACTGATTACGCTCAGGATGTGGAAGATGATCATCGGACAGTCCATCTATCAGCTAGTAGTCACTTTCATCATCTTCTATGCCGGAGAGGACATCCTCTCCTATCACTCGGAGCGCGAGAGGGCCATGATGCCAACGTTTGTGTTCAACACATTCGTCTGGATGCAAATCTTCAACGCTCTCAACAATCGCCGTCTGGACAACCGTTTCAACATCTTCGAAGGAATCACGCACAACCTCTTCTTCGCCATCATCTTCCTGATCATGGTTGGTGGACAAACCATGATTGTCTTCGTTGGTGGCTCCGCATTCTCCGTCACCCGGATCAATGGCCCATTGTGGGGCTACTCCATAGCACTGGGAGCCCTGTCCCTTGTGGTTGGTGCTATCATCCGTCTCATTCCCGATGAACTGGTCGCACGTTGCATTCCCGAATTCATGAAGAGGAAGCGTACTCCGGAATTGGTGGTCTCCGACGACTTCCAATGGAACCAAGGCCTCCTTGAGGTTCGTGAGGAACTCGCCTTCATCAAGAAGGTGCGCGGCGGGCGTCTTAGCAACCTCAAGTTCAAGGTGCAGCATCCTCGCGAGATATTCTCCAGGTCCCGGTCCAGCTATTCGCTCCCCGGTACACCGAGTAACGGCGCGGCTGATGGAGAGGGAGTCTCGGCGCCCCCAACTCCCGATTCCAGGAGCAGACGCCGTGGACGCTCCCGATCCAACTCGGCCTTCGGCCCAGCTACCGTGATGGCTGGCATCGTGGCTGGCAGCGTCGCGGGCTGGTCACCGATTGATCCGGGAGGCGAGGACAATCAGTCTTTAAAGTTTGCCCGCACCGGCAAACGCTCCGACCTGGAAGCCCAAGAGGGTATCGAAGTGCATCCCGCGACCAAGTCGTCCGACCCGATCCTTGCGCCCGATCCATCAGAATACCGTGGACCCCCAAGCCAGAACCCGGAAACGACTCCGGATTTCGCGGTCGGTCCATTTGCGGGAGACTCGTCGGCGAAGTCGGAAGGAAAGTCGTCCGCGTAGTCGGCATCTGTTGGCCCCGCCCCCAAATAGATGTACATTTCCTTCGGTCTTTTTTTTTCTTCCTTCCTGTACAGTATCATATTCGTATACTTTTCCATTCCTAGCGGCCTGCACCATTGCATTTACTTGGCGCATTGGGCGTTGGAAAAGAAACAGGGTGGCTTTTCTGTGGGTTGCCGGTTGCCGGTTACTGGCCTTTGGCTCTCTCGGCTTGACCAGGGTGAATGGGGGTGTTTTTGAGCTCTTTCGTTAATGTTGCGGGGAAGACTACTACTATTATATCCCCCGGGGGAAAGGTGTCGATGTCATAATTCCCCCCCTTCCTATTACTGGTTTTTTGCTGTGGGATGAGAGGTGTGAAGGTGTGGAGGTGTGTGATTTGGACCTGGCCTGCCCGCTCGCTTTGTATTAATTAGACTCTGGACTGGACGACTGGTTGATGGGAGTGGTCTTGTCCGTTTCCTTTCTGTCTGTCTGGTTTGGTTTGGTTTGACGCTGGCGGATGGCGGAGGAGGGGTTTCTTATGTATGTTGATGGTTGGCTTTTCTTGGGTGGGTGGGTGGTGGTTCGGTGGGTGGTGGTTCGGTGGTGAGCGGGCGATGGGTTGGGTAGGTGTGGTAGTGGTGTGGTAGAAGTAGAAGTAGTGGTAGAAGTAGTAGTGGGTAGACCTGCGGGAAAAGAGTCATTGAAATTTCTTTTTGCCTCTTGTTGTTGATTTGATTTGCTGGTGATGTGTAGAGAGGGGGGTGTTTTTGTGTTTGTTGTTAGTGCCTCTGTTAGGGGAAGGAGGAGAGAGGGGGGTAAGGGGGAGGGGGAGGGAAATGGAGTGGAGTGAGGTTTCTGTCAGCTAGCTTCTTTGGTCAGAAGGGGATCGATGGTTAATGGGGGTTGTGGAAGTGGGAGTGGCAGTGGGAGTGGGAGTGGCAGTGGTAGTGGCAGTGGGAGTGGTAGTGCAGCAGTTGGGGAGACTGGAGGAATAGGATGAGGGACGGTTAGAGGAGGAATGGGATAAGGGACAGTTAGGTGAGGGACTGGGGGGTTCGATTTCCTTTGGTACGGAGTAAGTACTTCATCGTCTTGTTTCTCACGTCTGTTGAACACAGTAGATAGGGCTTTTAGTAGTAGTAATGCGGTGTGGGTAAAAGATAGTGATGGTTATCTTCTTCCTTCATCGCTGTCTATCATTGTCATCATCGTCGTCGTCGTCGTCGTCGTCGTGCCTACCACTATTCGCCCCTGGCGACTTTTTTGTCCTACAGAAGCATATACGTATGTACAGGAAGAGAGAAGTGGGAGAGAGACGAACGGCAGAGTAAGGGTGATTATTATTATTATTATTATTATAATTATTATCGTCGTTATTATCTCTTTTCCGAGAGAAGGTCGGAGACTGGACTCGCATCGAGCGAGCGGGCGGGCGAGCGGTACCGCATCATTTCCGCTGCTGGTAAATTTTTCTATCTATCCTCATTTCTGGAGAAGTAAAGTGTATGCGCCTAGGAAATTGACGTACTTGGTCTTTGGGTTCTTGCGTGCCGGATATGAACTGTTGGCGCCAGGCTTCCGTTTTGCGGTCTTGAGTACGGAGTAGATCATCTATATATAGATCCGGCTCCATTTTGGTCTGGAAGGCTCGACACAGAGGGAGTGAGCGAGCGATACTGCATCGTTTCCATGGCTGGTAAATTTCCTTTCTATATTGGAGGCGTAAAGCACGGGCTGCGTAGGTATCATCTTTGGTGGGACTGTTTAGCCTCTCGCACATCGAACGGATCTTCTTGTATTTTCAGTCCTTTTAGGAAGATGAGGATGTTGTGGAGGAAAGGAAAGGAAAGGAAGGAGATGGGGAGGGTTAGGAGGGAGGTTTATATAGCAGTAGAAAGGGAGGGGAGGAGAGGGGGGAGGATGAGAAGGATGTGATGAAGGATGGGGAAAGCGGAGGAAGGGGTGGCAACATGAGAGCGGTTAGGAAGAGTTTCGAGAATATGGGCGAGAAGTTTTGGAAATGCGTGAATGATCGCTTTTGAGGTTTGTAGGGGGCAGGTAGGTAATTAGCATCATTATCATCATCTGGCCATGGTTATTATCATCATCTTCATCATCGTTATCGTTATTATCATCACCCTTCCTCCCTCCGCAATTCGAGCCACGCAGCATCTTCACGGGCATCCACCACATCTATCTACCCGGCCAACGTAGCCATCCTCAAATCTATCGTGCGAGCGAATCCACGCAGGTCTCCATACGCCTCTGCGATCTTTTCTGTGGAGCGCACATTCCGTTGCAGCCAATGTTTTTTAGGTTTATAGAAAAGGAGAGTGGTGTACGGAGAAGAAGGGGTAGGAAGCGGGGAGGGGGAGTTTATATAGAGCAAAGCAAAGAGAAGGCAAGGGGGAGGGAGAGAAGGAGGAGGATGGTTACTATAAGAGCAGTTAGACGGAGTTTTGAAAACATAGGCGAGACTCTATTTTTTAGAAGTCTATGAATAATCGCTTTCGATAGTTGGAGAGGGTAGGGAAGTGGACAAACAGAATCGCTATATTATAATCATCTTCACTATCATCTTCACTCTCCCTTCCTCTGCAAATCAAACTCCGACACGTCTTCATCCGCTGCATCTATCCCCTTCATCCAGCCAGCCTAGGCATTCTCAAATCTATCGCGCGAGCGAGTCCATGCAGGTCTCTATAACTTCTTTCTATTCGAATATCTTTTCTTGTAGCACATGCTGTGGTGCAGTGGACCATTTTAGGTTTATAGGAAAGCAGGTGGTGTACGAAGAGAAGCTGAGGGGATAGAGGAGAGGAGGAATTTATATAGAGCAAAGCAAAGAGAAGGCAAGGGAAGTGAAGGGAAAAGACGGTAGGAGATTGAGTGCTGTAGGAGCGAAGTGGACATAGTGCGGTTTAGCAAAGTTTGGAACATGGCGGTGAAGTAGCGTAGGGTAGGTGTTTTTGGAAATAGGTAGAATGGGAGTGCACATGGATTTCATAATCACTGTTATCGTCATTATCATCATCGTCACTCCGAGCGACTAGTCTCCAAACCAGTAGAGATGTAGATTTACATCATTCATCCGAGAGACGTTTTTGACTCTACGTCTCAAGCACGCAATCTATGTATATAGCATCCCGAAATTTCTTTCTGCGCGCAGACATATTATCAGGGCTTGGGAGTATTTTAATCTAAGGGAAAGGAGAGTTGTGTAAGAAGAAGAGAAGTGGAGAAGAGCAAGAGGAAGGGGAGGGGTTTATATACTCCAATCCGTTTCAGAGCCTGCAAGATATTCATCTGTAATTAATGATTACCACCCTTATTATAAGCATAACCCTCGTGTTTGCCTCGAAATCGCGCAGTGCTTCATGTATATCTAGTGCCTCCTCTCTCGTTCAGCGCGGGCGATCGCACATGCCATGGAGTCAACGGATATTTCTCAATCACACTATGTTGCCCACAGAAAATGTCAAAAACGTGGAAGCAGAAGAGGGTTAGAAAGGCTAGTAGTCTTGATTATATAAACACGTAGTTGCATATAGAGAAAGGGTAAGCCAAGGCGAGTGAACACAGACATCGATGTAGGTTTCGAGAGTAGGTGTGACATTCTGAACTTAAAGGCTCTGAATCGAACTCCTAAGGAATGCGGAAAGTAGCCAACTGAATTAATACTATTATTATTATCAGCATCATTCTCATCCGCATCACCGTCATAACATGCTTGGATCGGAGAGGTGCTACATGCACACGTCGGAAATCAGGTCCTTTACTGTGTAGTCTGCGGCACCTACTTAGGTGCGACTCTTTACGCGGGCCTTCTTTTACTTCGCACACATTTGGCGCATGCAATTGTCTTTTTTGTCTTTTGATTTAGAAGGGAAATCGGGAAGGATATAGAGACAAGGAGAGAGGGAACAAGGCGTAGAGTAAGACTTATATATTAGAAGACTTGAGAGAAGGAAAATGTGAATAATAGGAACAAGAAGAGAAATAAATTATGGTAGTCTTAGGGGCCGGGACACGAGACATAACCTAAATCAACGTCGCATGAGCGCAGGTTCTTGCGTAGAAAAAAGATCGACGACATCCCTTGCGTTTTTATATTGCAAGACAGTGATAATCATCATAATGCTTATTTTGTATGTTCTTCGAGTTATTCAAGCAGCGTCCGTACATTCCCATGTGGTAACTTTCGGTGATTCTACGGCACACACATAGAGGGTGTGAAAGGCGTCTTAGTTTAAGAGATAATTGAGTGAGGTGAAGAAAAAGACGAGGAGGAAAGCCGACGGGTTTATATAGACACGAGAAAATATTACGCAAGCGTTTGCTTCTATGTGATGCGGGGAGACAGGTAAAGCGCTGCCGTGCACATGCAACAATTTGGAATGACTTCAAAAGCGGTTACCATCACCATTACGCTCAGTCTCAGTTCATGGCCGTGTCATAAACAGAACTACTTTGCATCCATAACATCTATTTTGATTTCCCACGATTCGAACGCACCCAGGCAGCAAAACTGCGATCATGCCGAACTCCATGGGATTTGAGTTGAGCGGCTTTTCGGTTCAGCGAGCTCATGAAGCAAGGAGTTCAATGTTCAACTCGAATAAAAGAGACGAGTGCATGGCGTCCGAGGCCGAGAAGAATGGGGAGTATATTCTAAATAATGCGACGAATGGGTGAGGTAACGGGGAAACGGTGAAGGGTTCATGGGGTATCTAAGTCTTCGGGACACAATTTGGAACAATGATAGACTCAAAGAGGATCTCATTGAACAGGTGAAAAGCAATCACACCATCATGGTTACCTACTGTGTATGCATCAGAAGGCACACAACGTACGCGTCCATCGAACAGTGCTTTGAGTTGGCCCGTCGATGATCTTGGTTGAGAAGCGAGATTGTATACGTGGGAGGAAAGTCTCCACGGCGGGCGTTTGCGTTGCCCGCCAAGCCCTGGTCAGCGTTGGCCGCTTTCCCTTATCGACCCCCTCAAGCACTGGCCGCCCGTATTGTAAACCCGCTTATGTCATGTACCATTTCTGGGCACCACCTCGTCCATTATTACTGATGATCTTAGTGATGATGGAGCTAGCACCAGCTCTCCCCCTCCAACACCCACACCTCAGTCATCCGATGCTGGAGCTGACCATCCATGCCCTCTCTTCCTTCATCCGATATGGCGGCGTTCCACCCCTGGAACCACCCGCTCACTCTGGCGTCCGGAAGCCTGCAAAGACGAGCCGTGTCCAGATGTGCCTGTGTACTTCCTGGCACTGTGGTCACCCATCCTGCGGCGGCACAGCGTGCTCTCTGCTGGGCGGCCTTTTCTGACACCCTCGAGCTCCACCCCTCCCACACAGTACACCTATATATAAGAGGGCCTTGACCCATGGCATCTACTCTCTTTTCCTTCATGCTCACTCTTTCATTCCCTCACTCTCCCTCTCCCCTCCCTCGTCCTCCATGAAGCACTCCTCGCACCTGCTCCAACAGCTTCATGCCCACCTCGGGTTAATTTGAGGCATTCGAACACGCTTCCCCGCTTATTCCATCCAAAGCCTCCTTCCTCGAGAGAAGACGCCCGGTGGTGCTCGGACATGGGGCGCCCGTGAGCCAATAATTGAAGATGGAATGCGGGGACGCCACAGGTTCACACCCTATCCCCCAGCAACATAGAATCGAGGAGAGCAAAGGCACAGTTGACTCTGCAATCGTACACGTCATGGCCACTAGATGACCAGCCAATAATTGCACCAGCAACAGATGGCCACCGCCATTGCGCTATGGAGAATTGGGTTTCGTAAGTGTTCCTCTCTTTGTTCGTGCTTGAAACTGGCTGATTCGATGTTGATAACTGACATGTACCCCCAGATACTTCACCAACGTGATGCAAATCAACCCGAACCACATCTGGCTTGGCCTATGCCTCGGGACCAAGGAGGTTATAAACTACTGCCACTTATATCTTAACAACTACATCGAGGATTCAGTGCAGAAGTTTGTGATTCTCGGGCCAGAGGAGTACGAGTACAGACGGACTGTGAATTCGGCCTCCACAGTCATTCAATGCTGGAGGGAGCTCATCGCCCAGGCCGACTCCACCGTTCTCCTGGATAAAAGGCGTGAGGACCCGGGGAATTTCCAGCAGTGGCGACTCAAGTTCATAGACCATATGAACCAACGCGGACAGGGTCCTGTCTTCGAGATCTGCCAGGTAGGTGTCCTGCTTCATCTATTCTGAATCCACAAGAAGGCTAATCTATATCTAGTGGATCTTTCATACACTCGCAAAGGAGCACAGACTCGCAACCACTCTCACTTTCGAGAATATGGCAATGGAACTTATAGACTACCAATGACAGTAACACAGGACGACACGACTGTAACGGACTACGCCGCAAGTCACGTGACTTGGGCGCATAGCTCACGATGCTTACGGTGAGCAAGGTGAGCACCAGGCAGCGAGTACGTCCTACTCACGCTCACAGTGAGCATGTCGAGCGTTATGGCATATGACTCCTTACGCTCACGATGCTCACGGCAAGCGTTGCGAGCAAGCAAGTATATAACAGTAGTCGATGAGTCCCTACAGCTCATCATGTTCAATCTAAAGTACTCTCATAGTATACTTGGTTTACCATACACGATATCCATCTTAGAAAAATCACACTTACTGTTTTGATATACGTACCGGACTCTATCGCTTATCGACCCTATCACTTATCTCTTAACAAACCAAGCAAGATCCATAGAGGACATACCATTATCCGTTGGACCTTCACACCCCTTTTGAGTGGAACAACTATCTACTGGTTTTCATCTTGTCTCCTTCGAGGCGGAATTACCTCAGACCTCATCTGGGTTAAGCCCTCTGGGCAGCAGCCCATTACATTAAGAGCTGTAAGACAATTACTCTATCTATTACTTCGGTAGAAGTACCTAAGTACAAAGGTTACCTGAAATAGTCACTTCTTTGAGTAATAGAACTTAGGTGTTACAAGATGACATCCCCAGGATCAGGCGCAGCCATGACACTTATGGACCACCAATGGAAGTTGTACAAGGAGACATGACAACACAACTACGCTGCAAAGGTCACGTGATGAGGCAGAGGTGATCACGATGATCGCAGTGAGCACAGTGATCACGTAGGGATGGATCACTCAGCCCAGAGTGAACATACCTAGACTACTTGTATAACGATCGCAATGATCGCAGCGATCGGGGTGATCGCTCATGTATATAGATGAAGACGATAAACTCCTAGAGCTTATCGTGTTTAACCTGATAAGTACTCCTAATAGTACACTTGGTTTTCAAATACACGATATCCTTTTCAGAAGAATCCCACTTACTGTCTTGATATTACCAACCCATGCAAGGGACCCTATCGCTTATCCCCGAGAACCAACCAAGCTCCATAGAGGACATACCATTATCCATTGGACCTTCACATTAGGTTAGTCTACTCAAGTCCCATTACTTAGCTAGGTGTACCTAGGTACTAAGGTTACCTAAAAAGGTCACTTTCTTGAGTAATAGAACTTAGGTCAGTCTTGTCAGATTTGATGGTATCTGAAGATGTCACGGTGACAGAAAGATTGAATGAAGATGGGTTGACTGATTGTATTCAGGTGTGTGCTTGTGTGTTGTGAGGCTGGGGCCTGACACCGGTTTTGATATTCCTTCTCTGGGCACCAAGGCTGTGCAGGGCACTAGCCACTGCAGAATCACTAGCCACATGTCCTCAGACAGTACCAGTACAGACGTCTTCTCCCAGTCCTCCTCTCCAGTCCCAGATAGGATGTCCATAAACTGGCTTACCATCTGACAATTGCATTTCACAAGTCCAGGAAGATGGA